AGTTCGTGCTATTTTTCTTTTTCTTGGGGGTTTCCAAATGCCGTCTCAAGGCGTGGGATCCAGAATTCAAAAAAGAAATATTTATGGGGTCCAAGATATATAGGTCCTTAAATATGCTTGGGGGACGTTACCCCAAAAATTTTTGCGAATATAAATATAAATCCAAAATATAAATTTCGGTATATATAATTATCCCTTTCAAGAGAAGAATACATAGTTACATAGTTGCATAGTTACATAGATACATAGATACATAGATCCCGGTATATATATATTATTATTATAGTTATCGTTACCATGGTATAGACAAGTGCACCCCGCAAACTGTGCTCTTGGTAAAAGAGGGGGGGGGGGGGGGAGAGAGAGAGGTATTGATAAACGTGAGTTCTTTCAAATTATTAGTTCTATTTTATTTTAATTTTAAAATAAAATAAAATAAAAATTGTATATAAATATATATATTACCCGCTCTGTATTTTGAGTATTTTTTTTTTGTATTTTATTTTTGATCAAACATCTGTCCTTTCCCCCAAATACAAATGAGTATGTATTATACTATTTATATATATTATATATTCAAAAGAATAATACAAAAAAAAAAGACGGCTTCTGACCTCCCTGTTAGATATCAAGCTTTTTATATACACACATATACAAAGGAAAATCATTCAAGCATAGATAAAATAATAATTCAAAATAATTAGGTTTGCAAATTATAATTTAAGAAATACAAATATAGTAAAATAGAAGGATCGAACGAAATGGAAGGCGTCGGGGAGTACCATTCTGGGTCGAACACACGCACACACATTATAATACATTTTTACTCTATAAAATATATATACAAAACACACACGCACTAAAAAAAATAAATAAAAAATAAAAAAAAAATATAGTGAGATAATCGTTTTTTTTTTATTTTTTATTTATTTTATTCTATTTTTTTTAGCCGGCTTTTCAAAACGTATTCTCGATGTTTCTTTCCCCTTTTCTGTAATATTCTTCGCTACTTCTTTCACTCTTCTACACCTCAGTTTCTCCTACACAATGAAAAGCAAGTCTACAGAAGATCCTCAGCCTGCTTCCTCATCAGTGCTACAGGGCAGGTCTCTCACAACATTTATTAAGAAACTTTGGTTGTAAGTCTCTATTGTTCTATCCTCTTCTCTTTTTCGTTCTTAATTTAAAGTGCTGATCTTGATCAATTCAATGACCTGCCCTATTGATATTACCTTTGTAAGTCTTGGTTATGTGTATTTCTTATTCTAAAAGCAAAAAAAAACCCACAACAACAACAAATATTACACCTAGTATCATGAACGACACGTCAATCCAAGACTTTATCTCATGGTCAGATAATGGCCAGGCGATATGTGTACCCAATGCAGCAACCTTTGCGAAATCAGTCCTACCAAGATACTTTAAACATAGTAATTGGCCTAGCTTTGTCCGTCAACTGAATTGTACGATAATTTATAGAGTCTATTTATTTATTTATTTATTTATTTATTTAAATGTGTGTGTGTGTGTGTGTGTGTGTGTGTGTATGCGTGTCTGTATATATATATATATCATTATTGTTATTGTTATTATTACTATTACTATTATTATTATAGTATATGGCTTCCGTAAAGTGTATCATGTTGGGATTTCACCTGAAGTAACACAGCATGCAGTTTGGCAGTTTAAGCACGAATACTTTCAACAAAATGCCAGTGAACTCCTGCAGAACATACGAAGACGCGCCCCACAACAACAGCAACAACAGGAAGATACCAGTGATGCAAATGAAGACTTTCGGATACAAGACGATACACAATTGGAACACATATCAGAACGGCTAAAAGAAATTCAACACGCGCTGTACATAACAGAAAGAAGATGCGATGAAATGAGAAAAGAAACCAACGAATTAAGGACCATACAAAGGCAGCAGCAAGAGGTAATCAAGACTTTATAATAATTTTAAATAATAGCAAATACTATACATAAATATATATGTACATATATGTATGGGTGTGTGAACACCTATCCATATACTTACACACATATGCATACACAAAATAGCCATACGCATTATCATATTATTATTAATTGAATACACCTACGCACATACTCACATACTTGCTTAACTATCTACCTACCTACATACCTACTCATACAAACACACACACAATATACACAATTATTTATTACCATTTATTTACTTTTTTTTTATTATACAGACTAATCATTTATAAGATTCATTTGTCTTCCTTTACATTATAGGTCATTAACCGAATCATAAATGGCGAATTTCCTTTAAGGCAAAACATTGACCATGAATCAAACTTGAATGTTGCGAATATTAAACCATCATGTGAGGAGAGATTTATGCACATTAGATTAAACATATATATATATATATATATATATTACTTCATTTATTCATCCATTACATCTTTATTATGTGTATGTACAGCATCTGAAGCCATTCCTAGCTCACAATATTCTCATTCATATCGCATCGAGTCGAATTCTAATGAATCATTGGATTGGAATCGCAATTATCATTCGCCTGAAAAACTTCCAGAAAAAATCGGACAACGTTCTAGTTATTCTGACGACATCAACAAAACCATTCTTCCATCTCTGTCTTCATTAATGTCTGAAAAACCCGATGAACCCAAAGAACACGAATATGCCCCATACCACCTGCCACCTCCACACAATTCTGTCGAATACCATGATAGAACATCTTTACAATCCTTTTCAACCAAAAGGCATCGAAAATCAAACCACCACTAAGCAACAAAACCAAAAAAAAAAAAGAAAAAGAAAAAGAAAGAAAGCAATAATAGCTGTGTACAATTTATTCAATTGCATTGACCTTGTACAAGAAAAAAAAATTAAAAATAAAAAAGTAAAATATATATATATAACATATTCATATAATTAATTAATTTCACTCACTCAGTCAGTCAGTCAGACAGTCTTTTATATATATTTTATTTTTTATTAATTTTTATTAAGTATAATTTTTTTTTCAATCCCCTCTTCTCCACCCCATCCCCTCCTTAAAACAAGATTGAAAGAGACGGCGACAAAGAGAGAGAGAGAGAGAGAGAGAGAACAAGAGAGAAAGGCTGTATAGATTTGATTCATATTTGTTTATAACCAACAACTTTGTCCTCTCCTCCACCCCTCCACCCCATCCCCTTTATCCTTCCTTAACTGTCCCTTTCTACGATGGATGGAGTACTTGGCTTGCCATCCTTACAAACCATCCTGCCTGCAACATACAGACCCATTGTCGTGATCTGCATTGGAATATGGGGTTGGGCATTCAGTCTCCTGATCCTCATCAGGTCTCATATGGACCCAGCATCCATACTTCAAATTCATCCTGACAAAAATGTCAACCTACACAATCCGATTTTTGCAATCGCAAGTGTCCTCACTTGTATAATTACCCTCAATTTATGGTTCTGTTATCATTACGGAACACCATCATCATGGTTTCCTCTTATTACATACCTTGCTGCATTTATTATGATACTTTGGCCCGGAAAAGGATTTTATCGCAAAGAACGAACAAGGTTTCTGAGGTACCAAAAAAGCAAAAAAAAAGGAATATTATTATATTAGATCAATATCATTTATATTTATATATATATATATTTACTTTTAAAGAGTCTTGCGCCGTCTATTCTCCTTAAATATCTTTGCTCCAGTTTTCTTTTCAGACATCATATTGGCCGATATCCTCACAAGTCTATCGAATGTATTTGGAGACCTGTTTACAACACTCTGTGTCATTTTGGCTGGCCAAGACGCAACTTTAGAAAAGACACAAGTAGACTACCACCGCGATGTATTTTTACCGATCCTAATTAGGTAAATCATGAACACCAAACCCTACCATGTCAATCTTGTTTATATATATATCAAGAAAGAAAAATACTCGTATAAATGTGTCTGTACCTGTACCTGTACCTGTGCACCTAAATATAATGCTAGAGTTTTAATATACATATATGTACCAAAAACAATAGTATTCCATATTTCATTCGCCTAAGACAATGTACATCTGAATACATTGACTCAAACCGCAAGACAAAAAGACATTTGTTCAATGCATTAAAATACGCTTCTGCATTCCCAGTCATCCTTTTGTCGGCAGCCCAGAAACGAGCTGCAATGTATGTAGCCGAGACTGGATCTGTCCCAAAATCATGGTGGATCGGAGAAACTAATATCTTTAGACTGTGGTAAATACAAGCTTACTTTTTTTTGAAAAACAATAGTCAAAAAATAGTCAATTTAATATAATTTAATATACTTTAGTTTAATTTAATATAATTATAACTAACTAGCCAACTAGCTAATTAACTAATTAACTAATTAATTAATTAATCAATCATTTAATCTTAATTTTTTATTTTTTATTTTTATTTTCAAAAACACAAACACAAACACACAGGATGGCATTTGTATTTTTCAACTCAATGTATTCTTTCTGGTGGGATATTTCCATGGATTGGAACCTGGTGCACATCACACAGGGCGGTACAGGAGGAAAACTCGGCTCGGTACTCTCCGTACCAACTGTCCGGATCCGAAGACACCTCCATTTCTCACAGCCAATGCTATACATCTTGGCCACAGCGATCGATTTCTTACTCAGGACAACATGGAGTATGAAGCTCAGTTCTCATCTGTTCGTCAAGAAATTGGAAAATAGCATATTCTTGGTAGAACTCCTGGAAGTCATCAGACGTTGGATCTGGGTAATATTTCGAATGGAGAGTGAATGGGTAAAGCGAAACCAGATTTCTCTTCCGTCCCACAGAAACGATCATGACCCAATTCGAATGGACCTCTTGGACCGTGGAAAATTGACTCCCATTAGTGAAGAAGACGATGACGGCGATGATAACGATAACCAAACCATATAAAACACACACACACACACACATATATATATATATATATATATTTATATTTATACATATACGCCCACACTCACATTCTTAATTTCTTATTCTTTTTGTTGTTGTTGTTTTTGCTCTGATTTTGTTTCTTTATTATTAATCTGTTCAAGACACCTATTTTCTCTCTATTTAATCATTACTATTACTACTAATACTTCTTCTTCATTTCTTCTTTATACATTTTACTTTAAATATATATATATATACATACATATACATATACATATACATATATAATAGGTTGTGTCTATGCCCGTATTTCTTTCATTTTTTGAGTCAAAGGCTGCCACACATAATTATTTCCCCAGCATGTATAACCAAGACCAAGACCAGCTCCAGCAAGATGTGCCTATATATACACACACACAATCGTTAAGATTTTTACTGCTCAATCGACTAAACCATCTCAAATAAATAATTCAAAGTGTATATATCTGTAGACTTACATAATGGTCAAACATACGCCACTTGAACAAAATTCCTGCAAGATCAAATGACATGAGGGCAGGAAGTGCGTATCTAAACAACAAATAATCAAACAATTAGTTATACTTGGTTTAAATACAAGAATTACATTATAATGCGACCAACAACAAAACCCATTGGATTTTTTTTTATTTCATTATCCTACTACATCTACATCTTTCTATAACTTTCCTCTCATTAAATCACTCACCCCAGCTTGATCGGAACAAATGGCAAGAAGATAAGCGAGACACTAGAGTGAGGATACAAAAACGCTGTACCAGCCAGCAGGCCATAAATTGCACCACTTGCACCCAAACTCGGCATCAGTGGACGAGAGTTTCTAAATGCCAGGCTAAAGATGTGACTGGCCACATTGGCTCCTACACCCATTGTCAAGTACAATGCCAAGAACTGCTCTCTTCCGAGATAATCATGCAGGATGCCACCAAAGGACCACAGACCGAGCATATTCATACCCAGGTGCATAACTTCCTGGTGAGAGAAGCAGCTGGTCAAGAGTGTGATGGACCGTGGAGATCCAGGATGGTGTAAGAACCAGCGATTCATAAACGGTTTCAACGACCGGACCTGCCAGAAGCCAAACACAACCAGATTGATACCGATCAAACAGGCCATCGTCTTGTCTGCGTCAGTCATCTGGACATATTTCTGGGCCACGATCAGACACATTCGTTGAACATCTCTTGGCAAATCCATGGCCTGAAGACGGTAATTCAATCTCTCCATAAATTCCCTCTTCTTCTCAAGCATGGCCGCCTTCTTTTCACGCCAGAGATCTGCAAGGGTCGGGTTGTTTTCCTTGTCGCGGAACGATCGCCACCAAGCCTTGTCAGGCTGTCGTTCCTTGAGATATTTCCAGAGTGATTTCTGGTTTCTGTCGTACACCCACGCAGCTAAAGCAAAACTGGCCATAGATACAGTGACACCAAACACAACTGGCTTAACATAGTTTATTTCGTAAGTGATAAATTGAGGTTCGTTAATCTTTGGCGTCTCGGGGTAAAATTGACGTAATGTTTGCTGCTGGGTCTGGTGTGGCGGCGGCGGTGGCGGTGGTGGTTGTGAGTGATGTTGAGGAAATGGTGCTCGAGGCGCAGCTTTGGATTGTGCATTTGAAAATGAGCGAATGGTCGAAGGGTATTTTGTTGTCAGAGAGCGCTGTACTCTGGCTGTAGTAGTGTGTTTCCAGAGGACGTTCTGGAGAGGTAATCTAAGCATCGTTCCGGGAAATTAAAAAAGAGAAAAGCGATTGTGATAATTAAAAGTATAAAGGGTATCTCTCTCTCTCTCTTTTAATTTAAAAAAGAAAGAAAGAAAGAAAGGGAACCTGGTTTTTGTGACTATTGAATTTAGGCTTTCCTGCAAACCAAACCCTTTCTCTCTTTTTTTTCTTTTTCTTTTTAACCTTTGTGTGTTCATCATCTTGCAATTTTGTTAAATTAATAGTCATTAGTCATGTCAAGGTATATAGAATTGAATCATAATTCAGCATCTAAAAAAAAAATTCGTTTGTAAATCGTTAGAAATCGCATTACAGCTGGACCGAAATCCATCGTGTGTTTGGAGACCAACCTCCGAGGAGAGATTTCTATTGGTAAACTACACACACACAGAGAAGAAAGAAAAGAAAAGAAAAGATAATATATAATATATAGTTATATTACTATCAATATTGATACAAAAAAATAATATAATATAATATAATATAAATAAATAAAAATAATGACATGTAAGCTTATTATTTAACCTAGGTTCTGGTAAGTTATTACTATATATATATATATATAAAACATATATGTATATACGTATACCGACCTTTTCTTTCTTGAATGTTGATGCCTGCTTTATTCAGGTAGTATTCTACACCCTCAATGCAGAGTTATTGCTGAGAATGGTCCAATCTATATTGGCCGCAATAATATAATTGAAGAAAATGCCGTTATCTTTAACAAGTAAATAGATAGATATAAAGAATTGGAAATTAGCAAGAGAGAAAAGAATAACCTAAATTTCTCTCTTTCTTTATTAAAAGGAATGCCACTCCTCTTGTGATTGGTGATGAAAATGTGTTTGGTGTAGCTTGTTGTAAGTATATCCACAAACTTACATAGACAAAATTAGTAGAATTGTGATATCTAATTAACATATATATATTTGCGTGGGTTTTTGTATATAGATGTCGAAGGCTCGCGTATAGGAAACAGTAATGTTATCGAAGCAAGAGGTATGAGTTTGTTTATTTAATTGGTAAAATTCTGGTTTTAATATTAACATACGTATTTGTATGTGTTATATTATAGGCCGAGTTCTGGGAAGTACAACGATGGGTAATTTCTGTGTTATCAGCGCTGCTTGTTCAACAGAGACAAACGAAACAATTCCTGATTTGACTGTAATCTATGGTGCCAAATCCAACAGAAGAACCCAAACAGAGGTTTTGCCAGTAAGTCCAATGCCTTTCTATAGTTGTAATGCTAACAATAATTAAAGAAAGATAAATATAATAAAATAAAATAAAAAAAAACTTATTTATGTTGTATTACAGGCACAGGCTACAGTTCATGCCCGTCATTTGGATTATCTGAGAGAGGTAACTTATTGCTTATATATACATACACACACACATTGGACGTTTATTTACAATTAACTCTCTCTTTTATCAGACACTACCAAAATACAATCATCTCAAGAAGTTGGATACCGTATAATACACAAATCAACAGAGATAATGTGGTGACATCAATATTCCCAGCTATTCATTCCACTTCTACCAATGTCTACCCCACCGCCTTTCTATACATCAATATATATGATATACAAATATACACACAAAACATTCACATCCACATCTTTCTTTTCTTTTTCTTTTTCCTTTCCCCTTCCCCACTTTTTTTTTAATATATGTGTTTAGTGATATACAAGGTGTTATAAAGATATCCTTTCTATGCAATCGCTCGTCTTTTTTTTGCGTTTCGTTTCGGTTCGTTTCTCTTTATTTCAACTGAATGTTGATAGAGGGGTTCTTTTTGTTGTGAACCTGCTCCTGGCCTTCTGGGGAGCCAGGAATCTTCTTCTCCAAGCCCTTTTTTTTTTAAAAAAAAAAATGCACACACACACACACACGTACAGAAATGATAAGAAACTAATTATTCATTTACCAAAAAAAAAAACAGAATTTTACTTACCAGCTTCTCAAAGACACAGGTGTTAAAGGTACGTTCGGGCTTGCGGCAGTTGAAGAGTTCCTGATTGTGGTTTTCCAAGCACTGCCAGTGTGCGTCAAACTCCTTACCACAGTTCTCCCGGAGCTTGGTAATCCTGTAAAACAAAAAAATTGATTACAGGAACAGGAACAAATATTAATAAGAATAATTCAGTTACCATATATATATATATTGTTGCTTTTGTAAATATCCAGAAAAACCAACAACTAGGTACAAAACTAAACTAGCCCAACCAACCAACCAATTAAAAGAAATAAATAGAGAAAGAACTCACAAGTCAATAGCACAACGGGTAACCTTTCTACCCTCCTTCAAGCAATGAGCGGGGTCATTGTTCTCATTCTTGCAGAGCATAAAGTCATCGTTGTACTCTCTGCAGTATTGACCAATGAAGAAAGAAGCACTCTTCAAAGGGGCGGATGTTGCACCAACTTCTTCAACCTTGGGAACATTGGCGGGAAGAGGTGTAGGGTCAACAAACTTGTTGCTGGTGAAGGTGGACTCTTGGTGAGCAGACATTATGTGCTTATTCTTTTTTTTATTTTAAATTAATATTGTGCGTGTGTGCGTCTTTTTTGTTTTTAGGAGTGGGGGGGTTTAAGAAATTAGAGGCAGGAAAGCTGGGTTAATCAGGCCTGTGTTTTTTTTACAAAAAAAAAAAAACAAAAAACAAAAAACAAAAAAAAAGTGACGTTTATGTCATAAAGATAAATACAAGAAGTAAGTAAGAGTTTGTGGATTCTAATGGCGATTCCAAATTTTCATATTTCTCTTTAAGAATAATGAAAATGTGCAATGAATTTTGGTGCTTGCCTGGAGTCGGATTTCTACTCTTTTGCTTTTCGCGTCTAATGAGAAGCAAAAAAGACATCAAAATATTTTGTAATAGCGGAGGGCCTTGATTCTGACGTCATCATAATTTAAAGCAGTTCTAAAGAGATTACCCTAAAAACTATAATCCATTTGTGCAACATTTGTTTCAATATTGAAACGAGTTGTATATATAAAAAAAAAAAGTGTAATTCAGTGTAATAAAGAGCAAATAATTAAAGGTACAAAGATATGTAATTGAGTGAGTGAGTGAGTGAGTAATTGTGTTATATTCTATAAAATACAAGAAATAATAGCTTCCTTTTCTTTCCTTTTTCTTTTCTCGAATAATATATATATAGTTTCTAGATAATCGCCTTTTTCTTTCCCCTTGACGGACTAGGTCCCCAGACCTTGACAGTACAATCTGCAGAACAACTGGCAAGAATTGGCTCAGTGGGGTGGAAATTTACTGCATAGACTCTATCCGTGTGCCCTTCCAATCGCTGCATTAATTCTGCACTATCCTGATTAGATAAATGATATAGAGTTCATTAGCAATTATGTAGGACACAAGACAAAATCCAACTCAATTCAACTTACTTCTCCAACATTGTAAAGATATGCATATGGATCAGCACTTCCTGTAGCCAACAGGACACTTTTTTCTTCTTTCGGTTCAGCTACATCAAAATACTCTCCTGGATTAGAAACCAAATCAGGATCACTGTAAAGATCATTGATGAAAGGAACCGTAGGTCGACTGATAATCGAAGAGTTGTCTAAAGGTGATGGTAATAGCAATAATATTCTAATTAAATAAACTAGCAAATAAATGGATAAAACCGTTAAACTTACAACCACTTCCACAGTAGAAAGATCCTTTGATAGGCCAGTTCTTGTTCTTGAAGCCTTTTAATGCGTGTACTATACGTAGTTCTGATTTTGGAGGATCCATGCCTCGATCATATACTCGCATCACTTGATTTACATATCAAAATATTAGTTTCTTTTTTTCTTTAAAAAAAAAAGACTCTCAATTACACACATATAGAGAGAGAGAGAGATTCCTTAACTTACGGTTATCATAACTATTGACGGCCATGTACCTTGGTTCATCATAATCATCCACTGATAATGTTTAATAATCGTTTTTTAATAAACAAGATCCTTACCAGCTCTACGAGAAGCATCTGTTCTTCTTCTTCCGATTGAAATGTGAGTGATTGGCATTTTTCCTGAATCATTTGCTACTGCTGATATACATTGCTCTACAAACACAAACACAAACAAAGAAAGAAATATTAGCTATTTCTAGTTTTGTTTACCCTAAAAAACTTACTGGATCTGATATCCCACACCTTAAGCATTCCTTGTGCATCTCCTGTAATGACATGAACGCCATCCCGAGATGGGTATAGTGTATTGACCATTGCGTCATTTCGAATGATTGCGGCTGCTGGACCATCGGTTCTAACGTCTATCACGGCAAGTACCTTTCGAGATGTACCATAGTAAAATATATTCGAATCTACCAGCAATTATATGCATAAAACACAAAAAAAAACACAAAGAAAGAAAAAACAGAAAATCCGCACATATACAACATACAATATTATTATTATTATTATTATTTATTATTATTATTTTTATGGGTATATTTCAATTATTGTATGTATATATTTTATACGTAAGGTATATACATATATGTATAAGTGTACTTACCCACAAAGTCCCATCCAACGCATTGAACAAATCCCTCAGTGTCATAGCTTCCTACTAGTTTGCCACTATCTACATCCCATGTTTTACAAGTTTCATCATAGGCACCTGACAAAAGCATACTAGAGTCTGAAGTCCATGAAAGATCGGATACATTCAGGGCGTGTCCTTTCAAACAAAGAGTCTAAAGTATTATAGCAATAATATTGAATAGAATCAAAAGAAAGAAAGAAATAAAGAAATAAATAAATAAAAGGAAATCATGCATACAAATCTATACTGTTCCCTTATATATATATATAAATATACACTATATCTCACTTGCCTCTTTTTGTGCAGATGCTGTATCCCAGATACGAACGGTCTTGTCAAAAGATCCGGATGCCAAAAGAGCACCATTTGGAGAAAACTCTACGGTATAAACAGCACCTGTGTGACCCTACAAACACACACATACACAACGGCACACAACGCACGCACCAGAAATTTAAATCAATTGAACCCTTTGATATTCTTCCTCCAAAAAATAAAATAAAATAAAACAAAGCAAAAAAAAAGAGACTACCTTTAACTCATAGCGCATCTGGAACGCTTTACCATCGCGAGAATCGTGTGGGTACTTTCCAGCTAATTTAGATCTTGTAAAGATGCTGATTGTACACATAAAAGAAGAAGAAGAAGAAAAGAAGAAGAAGAAGAAGAAGAAGAGAATGATGTACCAGACTGGAATGTATCATGACCACCTGCTTCCTGTACTGCCTTTGTAATCATCTCTTGTGCCTTTGTAATCATTCCTTTTGAACCTGGTGATGTGTCTGCAATGACAAAAGGTCCTGGTCTATAGGGTAGTCCACCTTGAGATATAGACGCTGCGTAGCGAGTAGATAGGTCATAAATGCTCTTTTTCAATGCAATGTTCTCTTTGTCAAGAATGTCGACTTTTTGTTTAAGTTGTTTAACTTCTTTGAGAAGTTTTTCGACTTGTTGATCTCGATTGACTCCTGCACCTAATGATGACGGAGATGGCTTTAATGTTGTTAAGCCTCCTGCTGATGAAGGCGATGGTTTTCGTGCAGTTGGCAAAGAATCCATGCTTCTTTTCCTTTGTTCTTTCTTTCTTTTTCTTTATGTTTGGAAACTTCACAGCAAATAATTATATAGAGACCGTATAGGAAATATTGTAATGCAAATAATATATATATATAATATTTAAGTACTTTTTTTTATTTTTCTCATTTTTATTAGCCAATGAAATAAATACAAAATATAGCTATATATATATGTATATATATATATATACACACACAGATGTAGGTATGCACAAACTATGCATATAGCCGTGCATTGTGCATGTATCTTTTTACTTAAATTCATAATATAAACAGGAAAGCAAATAAACAAGCAGTAACACATTTCATTTATAACATCTTTATTAATTTTATTTTTTGAAACACGTTATTACTAGTAGATGGATATATATGAGTTAGAGCATAATTTCTTATAGAATAGATGAGTAATTGTTTATCGCAAGTACACAGGTATTCTTTTTGCGCGCGCGTGTGTGTGTGTGTCTGTTTAGTGTGTACACGTACAGAACAAAATAGTCTTGGTTAGTACCACATTAGAAGTGTGGTTTTGATGAATTTTGATAGATTTTTTTTTTGTTTTCTTTTCATTATTTGTTTTATCTTTATATTCTTCTTTTGTGACTGAACTAGGTTCACTGCAAATTTGTATAAATATATAAATATATAATAAAGAGAGGGAGGGAGAGAATGACAAAAAACAGCAAGAAAGATGGCGTGTAACCTAGAATGACTTGAGCTAATGCACCAATAAGCGACCTTTTGGCAAGATTCTTCTGTAATGTTGTTCAGATACATACATACAGACAGACAGACAGACATACAGACATACAGAAATACATACATACAAATAAATAATTAAAAAAATAAAATAAAATAAAAAGGAAAAAAAATCATCCTAAATATCCACATTCTCAATCTTACTTTTCTCTTTCTCTCTTTCTTCTTTCTTTGATTTCTTTCTTCTAATAAGAAATATGACACAGTCAACTATACATGTCACAAGTGAGGATGTAGATGTCCATGCCCCGGCAAGTACATACTACACCACCGGAAGCAACGCCGGCAAGAGCATCAGACGCCTAAAGACATTGACAGTAAGTTGTATTCCAAGTATATGAGTATCATTCTTATTAAGAAACACAACACAAAAACAACAATTCCTATTCTCCCTAGGATTCCAAACGACTAAATGAACAACCAGCCCGTAAAAGAAGGGCTTCCCATGGTAAAAAACAAACAAACTATTGTTGTTTTATTATAAGCTAAAATACAATACAATACAATACAAAATCTCATCCACCAAAATCTCTTGTTCTTCTGGCTTAGATGACAAGAGCAAAGCACAAAGGTTTCTTATTGATGTCAAGGAAACCCAGAGGATCTTGGTAGAGCAAGAAGATACGGACGGTGATTTCCAGATTACAGTCAATGATCTTGGACCAAAGACATTCTCGGTCGGAACAGCAGATTCAGGGGGTTATCGGAGAATCGAGATCAGAGGCACCTACATGCTCTCCAATCTCCTCCAGGAACTTGCCCTGGCTGATGACTACGGCCGCAAACACATTGTCCTCGATGAGGCTAGGTTGAACGAAAATCCAGTAGATCGTCTGTCGCGCATGATACGTCACAACTTCTGGGACGGCTTGACTCGTCGCATTGATGCCGAAGGACTAGAGATTATCTCGGCTGATCCAAAAAACAGATCGGCTAACCACACCCCACGCATCTATGTGCCCCATGGCGAGGACCAGGTGTTCAAGTACTACACAAAAGTGGCGGCCACGCGCACACATCTCAAACTGGAAGTCGAGATGTTACCCGAAAAGATCACGCCTCTCTACGTCAAGAGTATCAATGACCGACCTGGCATCCTCGCCTTGGCTATGGAAAAGGTAACCATTAACGGCCAGGAAACCCTGCAGGGTGTCCCATTTGTCGTACCTGGTGGTAGATTTAACGAGATGTACGGCTGGGACTCTTACTTTGAAGCCCTTGGTCTCTTGGTCGACGATCGGGTCGATCTTGCAAAAGGAATGGTCGACAACTTTGTCTATGAAATCAAACACTATGGCAAGATCCTCAATGCCAACCGCTCTTATTACCTTTCCCGGTCCCAGCCTCCATTCTTGACTGACATGGCACTCAAGGTGTACGAGAGACTGCCGCCAACCAAGGAGAGCAAGGTCTGGCTGGAGCGTGCTTTCCAGGCCGCAATCAAGGAATACCACACTGTCTGGATGGCCGAACCTCGTCTGGACCCCAAGACAATGCTGTCTCGCTTCCACCCCGAGGGACTAGGTATCCCACCCGAGACTGAGGCCTCTCACTTTGACCACATCCTGGAACCCTATGCCAAAAAGGCTGGTCTTTCTCTGGAAGCCTACATGTCAGCCTACAACGACGGTAGTCTAAAAGAACCAAAGCTGGACGAATACTTTCTCCACGACCGAGCCGTGCGTGAATCTGGCCATGACACCACATACCGATACGAAAAACGATGTGCCAATCTGGCCACAATTGATCTCAATTCGCTGCTCTACAAATATGAGACCGACATTGCTGACACGGTTGAACAGATCTTTAATGGAAAGCTAACGGACGAAGACAGGCGTCCTCAGGTGGCATCCGAGTGGCGTAAGCGAGCCGCGGAGCGAAAAGAGCGCATCGATCGATACCTGTGGAATAAAGAGGCCGGACTGTACTTTGACTATGATACTGTCACCAAAAAGCAGAGCACGTACGAGACTGTCACTGCGTATTGGGCCATGTGGGCAAAGTGCGCTAGTCAAGAACAGGCTGACACTATGACCCTGAGATTACACAAGTTTGAGGCGTTGGGAGGACTAGTTTCGGGTACAGAAGAATCGCGAGGAATCACATCCCTAGATCGGCCCAATCGACAATGGGACTTTCCATTCGGTTGGGCTCCCCATCAAATCATGACTTGGCGTGCGTTTCAAAATTATGACAAGGTAGAGGTCGCACGTCGGTTAGCCTACCGATGGCTTTACACGTAAGTAGTAGGACTCCAAAAAAAAAGAAAAAGAAAAGAAAGAAAGGGAAATGACATGCACACACAGTGTACAAGCGCTCATTGTGCTCATTGTACCCACTGTACTCATAAAACATACACGTATATTAACCTGTGTGCGTGTGTGTGTTTGTGTGTATCCAAATAAGAATTACCAAGAGTTTTGTAGACTTTAATGGTGTTGTACCCGAGAAATACGACGTTGTCAGCATGACCCACAAGGTTCAGGTAGAATATGGAAATGTTGGTACCGACTTCAAATATGTTCCTCGAGAAGGATTTGGTTGGATGAATGCTTCTTATCAGCTTGGCTTGGATCTCGTTAATACTCAGATGCGCCGTGCACTCGGTACCTGTACTCACCCAGACCTGTTCTTTGAACAAGCGTTGAAGAGACAACAATTGTTTGACACAATCCAGCGCCGCAAGTCTTTAGAGGCGTCTGCTAGAACAATTACTCAGAACGGACAGATCACAGCTGCAATTACTCGAATTGAAGCAGAAAGCAGCGGACCAGGGAATCCTGTATTTGATTTCACAAGTCATCCTTTCAACCATCAATAATTTTTTATTTTATTTTTTATTTGAAAAAAAAATATTATTTCTTCAAGTCCCAACCGTGAATATGAATATAAATAAACTAAAGTAAACCAAAGTTAAAAGAAAACAAAATATACATAGAATAATGGAAGCAAATTGAAGATTACTGTTCTTGCTTGTTTACTTGTTTGCTTGCCTATTTGTTTGTCTGTCTGTTCGTGGAATTTGACTGCATTATATTATTATTATAATATATATATTATTTTTTGTACATAATAAACTATAGTAAGGGGATAGTACAATTGAGCCAAGAATCATCAAAATTTTAACAACCAAAAAAAATAAAAAAAAAAGAGGGGGAGAACGGGAGAGTGTGGGATGGGAAGGGATGGGAAGGATGGAAAAAATTGTACCAAAAGAATTAAAAAAGAAAGTAAGAGGCTTTTAGCTTATGAACACACCAATAATAACGCATAGTTTTTGGTTTCTTATTGATTGTCGTCCTTAAGACTTTTTCCTCTTTTGGGAAAAGGATACTTTCCAGTTCTTTTACTGTTTGATGGGATAGCCTGTTTAGTTGTTCATGGGAATATCTTGTGAAAAGATGGCAGGTTTTATGTCAAATTTTGACCTCATATCTTCTTAAAAATCCCCCAACCAAATCAGCAAATATAGACATCAAAATAATAATAATTATAATTATAATAATATTTGTATTTATATTTTAATATATCTTTATATATTGAACACAATGTATTGTACCTCTGTAGCCACACCGTTTTCTCTTTTACCATTTTGTTTCTTTTTTTTTGACAGGCTGATTAGTACAAAACCAAACAAGTAAATAAACTTGGACAATTTGGTGTCATGGTCTATAAGTCGAATATATATAAATGACCGCAAGCCACGTCTCTCAAGCAAGTCTATTTCTGATTATTGAGCATGTCTTGTGCGAGACTGCCAATGTACTGGACCCTGCGTACATCATATAGATTTTTATTACTTTATTTGGATATCATTACTATCCATACAAAAAGAAAGAAAGAGAGAAAAAAAAGCCCTTTTTGTCTTTTTTTTTTTGTCTTTCTTTCTTTGGTACTAAATAATACTTTATGTATGTATATAAAAGAGTATAGATTAGACATGTACAAGGTACAGTTTGGAGAAGAGAAATAAACTCATTTGATTTGTTAGCAAAGGCTTTGGATAATTGACCAAGAGGTTTATAATTACTGATTTAGTTTCTTTTTTTTTATTGTAAAGAAAATTAAGGATAAAGAAGAAGAAGAATAAGAATATAAACTATTTCCTTTTAGAAATCTATTTTATACATGTGGGTAATTGGGTAAGTGAGTGTACATAACGTAGAAACTAATAAGTTTTTGTTTTTTTTTTTGCAAGAGGCGCAAAAATAATAATAAAAAACAAGATGATAAAGAAGAAGTACAGGCAAACAAATAAGCAGAAAAACAAAAAGATTCAAAAAATAATAAGTGTGTATGTGAGTGTGTGGTTATTATATATAGTAATAAAAAGAAAATAAGCAGGTAAATAATTGGTGGTTTAGAGTCGATACTTGAAATGAATAGATTCATCTCCAAGAACTTCAATTGCTGCAATATCGTCTGGTTGTTGTTCTGCTTCTTGTGCTTTGATAGCCGCTTCTTTAAGCCTATTCTCACGTTGCAAGAGACATCTCTGTAGGATAGCCAAACAGACGAATGCAACCAAAAATCCGAGATTGATACTGTGTCCACGGACTTTGGTTGAGGAAATATTAGTTGGAGAATGTTTCTTTTTTAAAGAGCTTTATACTTACTGTAACGAGGTGCATCCGAGGCACGATAAATATTAGATCCTACTAGACCTACGCACATTATATATAAATATATAGTAAGACAACTTGCTTGATTACAAAAGAAAAGAAAATTTCAAGTGACTAATATATTACCAGCTGAATTGTTTGCAGATACGGCCATTGCAGTTGCAACACTCTTTTTCATGTCAGGTGCAATATTGCTTGTTAACCAAGCATTTACTATTGGATTGATGACAAATATGCCGGCTACTGCGACACAAACGGCTGCATATAGAGCATCGCGCGTAGTAAGGAAGCATAGTAGTGCATATCCAACCAAACAAAATATAGCACCGCCCACAGCATGAAAAGCGCGGTCCTTGTGTCTATCGGAAGAGTATGCAAGACAAATCATCTAAAGAATTTTTGTTTTGATGCATTAGTGCGATAGTTATATGTATATATTTAATATATACATATATCTCAAACTTACTACCACAACTGCACATAGATACGGGGGAGCTTATTTTTTTTTAAAAAATAAAAATAAAAAATAAATAAGTAAGCAAGCAAGCAAGTGAGTAAGGAAGGCTTACCTGACATTAAGTTGGCAGATAGCTTATCATTGTATCCCATTCCACGCACAATCAATGGCAGGAAGCTATGTACATATATATGGTTTAATAAGTGTGTTTAGTACGTAAACCTTGAATGGAACAAAATATTTATATTTTACTTTGAGATACTGGTGTTTGGTACACTGCCGCAGAAGAACATGACCATCCACAACCAGACCTTCCAGTCTGTAAGGGCTTTGAATGCTTGTTTTTTGTTGGTGGCGTTCAGGTCGCCTAATGTGAGATGACCGTGATCGAGAGGAGAATCAACTTCGAGTCTTTTGACAGCCAATATGCGCTGTTCGGGTGTGAGACGGGACCATGTGGCAGCCGATGCAGGTAGATAGAACCTACATAAATATTTATGTATTTATGTATGTAGAAAATAAACACTTAATACTTTTTTGGACTAGTACTAGTACTAGTAACAGTGATATTGATAGGGATATTGATAGGGATAGGGATAGGGATAGCAAATAGTGCTAATGCTAGTAATAACAATAACAATAACAGTGATAATAGAGTTTGTATTTGTCTTACCATGCAATGAGAGCCATCAATACAGTTGGAATACCTTCGATAAGAAACAGCCACTATAGTAATATGAAAGAGTAGGTTGGCATGGTGTGGTGTGGTTTAGATTTACAGTATATAATAGAATAATATTTTTATATATGTAATAATTTACCTGCCACCCAGTCATTCCATGAGATCCTCTTAATTGAAGAATGCCATACGCAAGTACACCAGCTATAATATCCGTGTTATTTTTCTTTTCTTTTTGACCTAATAGAGTGCTTATATAAATGCAAATTTACCGTATGCATGAGCAGCCACTGTAGACCCCCAAAATAGAGCTATGCGAGTTGCCTTTATTTTAGAGAAAAAGAAAGGTTAGTATAGCTGTAGATAGCTATCATGACACCTTTCCAAAATAGAGTCGTTCTCTTTTTTTTTTGTTTATATAATTTATGTACCATTTCATCCTTTTTGTAAAACTGAGTCAAGAAGAACAATACACCTATTGATAAATGTATTAGATGACAGTCAAGACACCCAATTATTCATTCTTGCCTGGAAAGAACCCGGCTTCAAAGAAACCAAGAAAGAAACGAAGGGTCATCAGTCCAGCATAGTTCTTTACACCTGCATGGCAACAGGCAACAATACCCCACAGAAACATTAGGGTAGGTAACCTAGATTGATCATTTTGGATAAATCACAAACCCAATTAAACCAAAAGAAGAAGAATAATTGAAATAAATAAGTAACCAAGTAACCAAGTAACCAAGTAAAGAGAAGAGGTATAATGCTAATAATGATCTAATCTAATCTTATTTTTTTTAAGAAAAAAAAAAAGAATTGGAAAAGAAAGAGGTTAATTACCATCTACGAGCTGTTAGTCGTTTGAGGATCATATTGCTTGGAATTTGGAAGATAAGAAACCCAGCCTAGAACAGAACGTTTGAATTTAATACGATTTTATTGTACCTTTTGCTTCTTTTGGTCTTGGATACCATCAAGGTTACATTTTAACTTACATAAAAGATAGTAACGCATGTATTGAATTGGCCAGGTGTTATGCCAATGTCTTGTTCAAAATTGTCTAGGACAGCATTTCCTATGAACCGTATGTTGGTTATCAAAAATGAAGAGAAGGAAAAATAATAGTAATAATAATATTTTACCAAGACTGGATCGATCGAGGGATGAAAAGAGATACATGAAACTCAAGAAGGGTAAGAGCTGTGTATCAAACTTGCGAACCAGACGTCGTTCAGCATCCACAGCTGACTGTGGATCCTCTACAGCATCTAACAAAGTCATATTAAAGTAATTATAATTATGAAGATTAGAAAGTAGAAAGTAGAAAGAAGTAAAGCAGAGAAAAAGAAATATTGAAGTAATAATGTTATATATATAAAATATTATTAATATTAATATAAAAAGAAAGAAAAGGAAAAATATCCATTGATTTTATTACGTGTTTCTTGGGATGGAATTGACTGATAACTGTATGGCATCGTCGTGTGCTGAAAATCAATCAAACAAACAAGTAGTAGGATATAATCAAGAAGAAATGTATAAATATAGTTATTCAAATAAAAGACACATACACATATACGTCTATTTATAATACACTATAATATGTATAGTCTGCTTAAATATAAATAAAAATTGTATTTAAATATATATTTGAGATAAAGAAGTCCACCAAACAAAAGATAGGTAAAGAAATATAGATAGAGAGAAAAGAGAGAAAAATTATCCTTTTCTTTTTCTTTTTCTTTTTCTTCTTCCTTTTCATTTTGATTTTGATTTTCTTAAATAGTCAAAGCCAGAGAAAGCAAAAAAAAAAAAAGGTTCATATCATCTGACCATCGGACAATTTGATTTGAATCTTTTTCATTTTTTTTTTTATTATTTATTTTAAAGTCCAGATCAAACACATTCTACACTTCTTTATCAATTACTAATGGAGCAATTCATTCAACAGCACAGACTTGAGGATGCAATACTAAACAGTTAATATCAATATTATTCTTAAATACTCTTATTGTATATACAAATATAAATATTCTATCTCTAAATGACCATACTTAGACGGATTGGATCAACCCGAGGAAATCCTTACTAAACCAATGCCTGAAGTCCAAAGAGTACTCAAGATCACCAAAGCAGACTGCAACACACTCTATTCAGCCGCATCCTCCGAAATCTACGATTGGAGGAAGCGACACCAGACAGTAGATGACCTTTCGGAATCAACAATTCAACTTGGTGATCCTGGCTTTGATAAGATGTTAGGAGGTGGAATCCTACTAGGTTCAGTAACAGAAATAGTAGGAGAAAGGTAAAGTAAATCAAACAAAAGAAAGATGTGTAAATGAAATCAATTGAGTATATGCTTATGGGCTATACATAAAAATAAATAAATCAAAATCAAAATCAAAATCGAATATATATATACAAGTTCATCTGGAAAGACACAATTGGGTCTTCAACTCTGTTTTGCTGTTCAAAACCAATACATGCATGGAGGTACCTTTTAATGCAAGCTCTTTCTTCTTTCTCTTCTTCTTCTTCTTTCGTTATCTTATCATACAGATAAGTTAAAGTACAAATAGTAAACTTAATTGATGAGCATGTGAGTGCGCGTGTGCTTATGCGTGCATGTGTGCATGTGTGCATACGTGTTTTGTATATAACATTCAAGTATTTACTTGTGTGTATTTTAGAGGCTGTGTATATGCACAGTGAAGGTCGATTACCAACCCGTCGCCTGGATGTTCTTGGGCATCATTTATGTCCTCAGGATGCAGACCAGACAAAGCGCAGAATACACACTATGCAGCTCACAGAAGACGGTCCCTCTCAATATTTCTCTTTGGCCTATAAACTTCCTTTCTTTATCCAACAGCATCCAAATGTACATTTGGTTGTTATTGATTCCATATCAGCTCTCTACAGAGGCCAGCCGGATAGAGACAGGTTCGAACAAATGGAAGAACTGTGTGACCTTGGGATGCGATTGAAAAAGATGGCTGCCACACACAATATTGCCATAGTGGTTATAAACCAAGTATCAGACCGTATAGACCAAAAAGATGATCAATTGAGTGTTAGTAACAGTAGTGGTAGTGGTAGTGGAGTAAGCGAGTGGATGGATTTGCAGATGTTGACTCCACAGACACCTTTGAGTATATTTATCAATTCACTTCAAAAGAAGCCTGCACTTGGACAGGCACTGGCTTACTCAGTAACAACCCGTATCAGACTAGCACGTTCTCTATTGATGGATGACCGCAAAACACGTCGCATAGGCTGTGTTGAATTCTCACCTTTTGTGGCCCGTCAAGCTTGCGAGTTTACGATCAATGAAGGAGGAATCAAAAGCAACTTTGGTTAGCAGTCACATGTGACCTTTTTTGACAGAACAAATCCACAAACTTTTCTTTTTTCTTTCTTTTTGGTTTTTATATTATTATTATTTTTTGTTCTTTAATTTTTCATATACATTTATACATATTACCTACTCTTCGCATATAAAGGGAAAACAAAAGAGCACCCACCCACCTACGAACATATAAAAATAAATAAATAAATATATATATATATATACACATCGTATATACTTTACGAATAACAAGCCAAACCGGAAACGAACCTGAAAAGAATATATATACATATATTAAACAAAGAGAAAAGAAAATATGCCTGCTTCTATTCAACACAAGGCATTATTGACAGCATTCTGGCCTGGAAGACCTGACAGATGCGCCATAGTCTCCAAAGACGTCGATTTCCAACGAATGCGAGTATATGATACCAAGAGTGGACATGTCGTAATCGATTATAACGCCGAGAACAATGAACAATTCACCTGTTTACGATGGGGTCAGATCAAGCAGCAAGGAAAGGTGAGATTTTCCTTTAATTTTTTAATTTAAAAGAATAATATTCCAAATAAGCTTCTTCTTTTTTTTTTTATATATATATTTTACATAAATATAATTTCTTATTTTTAATAACAATAATGAATTAATCTAATCGAATCGAATCGAATCGAATTGAATTGAATTGAATTGAATTGAATTGAATTTATTTTAATAATTTTTAATTAATTAATTAATTAATTAATTATTTGTATGTATGTATGTATGTATATGTTTTTTTTTTAAATAAAATAAATATAAAATAAACAAATATATACATAAAAATTATAGAGTTCAAATGGATTGGTGCGTGTAATCGTATTGGGCACTCAGTCAGGATCGATTTTGTTCTATTCAACTGTCACCAAATCGATTATCAAAAGGCTTCAGGGCACAAAACCCGTCACAGACTTTGTACTGACAAAAGATGGAACCATTGGTTATGCTGCTACCAACGAGCTGTTTGTTACCCAATGGAATCTCGAAACCGAAAGTGTCCAAAGGTAATAATCTATACATATATATTTGTGAACAGAATCTTAATCACATATATAAAAACTTTATAGAGTTTGGTTAGAAGATACTCAAGAAACTACAAAATTGGTATTGGATCACGATGATACATTGATGGCAACAGCTGGAAAGGATATTCATTTGTGGGATATTAAAACCAACAAAGTCTTAAAGGTACAAAAAAAATAATAATAATAGATATTAATGCAAAAAAAAAGAGAGAAAGTATTGACAATATGAATTTTGTTATATTTCTATTGCTATTCAAGAAATATACAGGCCATTCTGATGTAGTGACCAAAATGCTATTCACAAAAGATGACAAACACCTGGTGTCAATTGCAGAGGGCGATGTACATGTTCATGTGTGGAATACATCTTTACAAAACCAGGACGTAACAGACTTGGCTGGCCTGGTTATGTCTGAGCCAGCGATCGATGTCGATGTGTCTGGAACCGGGACAATCCTGGCCGTATCTGTGGATGGCAGACTTGGATTGTGGGAAAACCCTGTTTCAGAAGATGCGCCTGTTATTGTGACCCGATCAGCAAAACGAACACCCAGTGCGATCATCAGAGTCGTCACAAAGGACAGCGAAAAGAACGCCGTGCCTCTTTTGGCAGCCGTGTTTGGAAACAAAGACGAGGTTGCGTTTGGACGTGGATCCGGACTGACACCTCAATTCGAAAACGTATCCTATCGTGACAGCGACGGCAACATTGTTCCCGAAACCGTCCTGACCCGTTCATCTATCATCACTATCGATTCGATCTCTTTACCTAGCACACCATCAAACCAGAGTTTGCTGATCCTTGCCCTAAAGGCCAACGATACAGACCATATCAACCGCTGCCTTGTGCCAGAGCCAGAAATGATCCGTGCAAATGTGATGCAGTTACCTACTGCACAAGTCGTCCCACTTGTTCACCATCTAATGAACCGTTTAAAAACCTCATGTTCCAAGAATCTGGTGGTGATCATGTGGTTCAAGACAGTCTTGCTGGTTCATAGTGCGTATCTGATGACCAAGCCAGCCTTGGTTACCAGTCTTGCCGGCATTCACAAGAACCTCGGTAGTGCCGAGAGATTCCCAAAGACTCTCGCACTTCAGGGCCGCCTCGGACTCATTCAGAGCCAGATTGACGCACGGACACGGCAGATATGGAACACCGAGAATGACGACGATGATGTTCTCGAGCAGTCCGAGTCAGAGTCCGAGTCAGAGGAAGAAGAAGAAGAGGAAGAAGAAGAAGACGATATGCTCGATCTTGTTGGTGATGCTGATGCCATGGAAGAGGTATGTGCCTATTAAATTCTTATGTTTATATATATATATATATATGTAGCTAGATTTTTAAAGTAAAGTGAGATGATGTTATGTTATGTTATGTTATGTATGTATGTACTAATGATTTGTATAGGACACTGTAATGTTTGCAGAAGAACAGGATGAAGCTGCGTCAGAGTCAGACGAAGAGAGCGAGGATGAGGAATAAGCCATTAAATATAAACCAATCATCAATAAACCATTTGCAATACTTAGAGATATATATATATATATATAATAAAATAAATAAAAAAGAGTAAGAGTAAGAGTAAGAGCAAGAGGTTAATGTTGATGTTGACGTTGACGTTGTAGTGCATAGTGATACAAACCCTTTTTTGTTAACAGAGAGACCTAAATCCGAAAAATCAAGCTTTAAAATTCAAACACCCGCTCTTTTTCTTTCCTTTTTTCTTTTTCTCTTCCTCTTCATTTTATTTTATTTTATTTTTTTGCCCTTCTTCTTCTTCTTTCTTCTTTCTTCTTAAATTTTTCTATTTTTTTTTTTTTAAATTTTTTACATAATCCTGAGATGCCATTCTTTCGTAAATTAGCACATAAAGTCAAGGATAACATTAAATCCAATCTTCATGAAATCATCTATAGCAAAGATGAAGAAGACGAGCGTGAAGAAGAATACCGTTCAGGGGACCATAGACACAAGTCATTTGCTCCTGTGCGCCACGAAGCAGAAGTAAAATACTTTGTTGATGGTCACGACTACTGCTGGTATTATCAATATAGTCTTTTTTTTTATTTTTATATATCTAAAATTTGTCTGTGACCAATCTATACGTATAATATACTTTAGGGCCGTATCTGAAGCTATTGAGAATGCAAAGACCTGTATTTTTATTGAGGACTGGTGGCTGGTATGTTTGATAAAATGGATTTATATATAAAAATGAAGGCCCAACTCAACTCAACTCAATTGAATCGAATTGAATTGAATTGAATTGAATTGAATTGAATTGAATTGAATCTTATTATAATTAGACTCCAGAATTGGTAAGACATTTTGGTTAAACCAAAAAAAGGCATTTTTCTTTTTTTTTCTTTCTTTCGATATTTTATTATTATACCTACTTTTATTATCTTTATCAATTTTTATTGGTTCAAAAGAACTACAATCATATTGTCCTTTGAGGCTTTGCATACTTTACTTTACTTTACTTTTTTTTACTATTTTACTTATTGCTTGGCAATCGGACTTGCTGAAACTTTCCAGTATCTCCGAAGACCCCCAGCCAAGTACGACCATTTTAGAATTGATCAACTACTGAGACGTAAAGCTGAAGAAGGTGTCAAGATTTATGTGGTTGTGTACAAGGTAAAGAAAAAAAGAAGGTTTATACAAATCATAAGCAACACTTTTAAGTTCAAAAAAAAGTATATACAACAATGACATATTTAGGATTAATAGATAAATATATATATATATATATAAAGACAGAGATATAACTACAAACAAATATGTAATATTTGTACCTGTTGGCTGATGTTGTTTGTGCGCTACGATTGTGGCGGGGGGGAAATGGCTAATAGGAATTTGGTACAACCATGCCTCTCGACAGTCGTCATACAAAAGATGCTCTTCAGACCCAGCATGAGAATATCATAGGTAGATTATATCTTGCGTGTGTTTGGGTTTAATACTCTATATATATATATATATATATATTATAACAAAAGTTGTATTTAATCTAAAAGAATCTTTGATATTTGGCAGTCCAAAGACATCCTGATCATGCTGTTGGTGGAACGTTCTTTTGGTCTCATCATGAAAAATTTGTGGTTATTGATAATGCAATCGCATTTCTGGGAGGATTGGATCTTTGCTTTGGGTAAGAAATAATAATAAAAATAAAACAACAATTCATGTCTTTTGTGGTTATTAATTATATAAATTTTTTTTTAAAAAAAACAAAAAAAAAAAATAGTCGATGGGATACACACACTCATCGTTTAGCTGATTTCCACAGCCCTGAACCAGGCATGGAGATATTCCCAGGTATGTAACTCTCTTATTCTTGGGTTGCCAGAAAACAATAAAGGCACAAAGTGAAATCGGAAAGCTACTAAACATAATGTTTTCTATAGGTCAAGACTATAGTGATGCCCGAGTCAGAGATTTTGAAGAAGGCAAGTCAAATCAATATCATAGGAAAATTGACCATATAATAACAAGCATATAGTGAAATCATGGGATATGCGCTTGATTGACAAGACGGTTGTGCCTCGGATGCCATGGCATGATATTTCTCTCTGTGTGGTAACAACTATTAAACACCTTTTCTTACTTGTGAGATGCATTGAGATCCTAAATTATGTATATAATGTATATTAGATGGGTCAACCTGTGCTGGATGTTGCTCGCCATTTCTGTGAACGTTGGAACTATGTCAAGTACTCTAAAGCAAACACAAAGAAGAGTATGCCCTGGCTCAAGCCTCCGCTCGGTGGCTATAGCTCTGACCAGTCCTTCAAAGTACCTGGCTGGGAGAATCCGATGCACAAACATGAGCACTACCCATCTGGCGTTGAAGACATCGAAGGTTCATGCCGTGCACAGGTTCTTCGGTCTAGTGCTGATTGGAGTTCAGGAATCAAATTAGAGGTAAGGAAGTAAATTATATTAAAAAAAAAGCATATATTAATCTTTCTCTAAATAATATATATATGTATATATTTATAGTGTTCAATTCAAACAGCTTATATTGATGCAATCAAAACTGCCCAGCACTGTGTTTATATCGAGAACCAGTTTTTCAGTAAGGAAATCCTTAATTCCTTAATTTATTAGTTGTGGTTGTTGATTATTACTTTTTTTTTGTGTGATTATTAGTTACCTCAACTGAAGAAGACCCTCAATTCATTGTCAAGAATTTGATCGGCAAAGCCATCGTAGAGCGCATTATCCGCGCACACGAAGAACGCCAGAAATTCAAAATCTATGTCTTGATTCCCTTGATGCCTGCCTTCCCTGCTGATCTTATTACCAAGGCTGCTGCCTCAGCAAAGTAAGTCTTAATGATAATAAAGAAAATTTTAATGATTTATTCAATTTAATCTAATCTTGGTTTTTTTTGGTTGAATTGATCAGAATGGTTATGCATTTCCAGTATATTTCCATTTGTCGTGGTAGCCGGTCAATTCTTGAGAAACTCAAGGCTGCCGGTATCTCCAACCCCGATGAGTACATCCGGTTCTACAGTCTCCGAAGTTACGATCGTATCAACCGTAACAAACTCGAGGAAATGTTGGCCCGTGCTGCTGGATACTCACCCCGCGACCAACAGCTGGCCGAAGCTGGTCAGTCAGTCAATGCACAGAGGGGAATGTTCTTCCATAAACCGAACCAGCCCGGAGAGGAGGTCAGGGTCCCTAGTTTCGAGGAGGCGGCTGCCCTGAGAGAAAAATATAAACGCGATGCCGAAACTGTGTTCAAGGTCGATGACTGTATTGCATCGGATTCAATTGCCCACAATGCCATGGCTGGTGGTGATGTCGAAAGCGAGCCTTGGGTAACCGACACTGCATTTGAGGCCACTCGTGATGAGTATTCTGAACGGGAAGAAGCAATGGCATACGTATCAGAAGAGCTTTATATCCACGCCAAACTTATGATTGTAGATGGTAAGACAAGAAAAGCAAAAAAAAAATTGAATACAACAGAATATATGTAGACTAAAAATCATTGTCGTTTAGATCGTCTTGTTATTATGGGATCAGCAAATATCAATGATCGTTCTCAATGTGGTGAGCGAGACTCTGAAATTGCACTTCTTGTCGAAGATCAAGACATGATTCCATCCATGATGAATGGTCGCCCGGTAAGCAAAAAAAAACACGATTTAAAGCAAGATTGCCAAGGAATATATATTTATATAATGTGAATCTTTGTTGTTTAGTATGATGCGGCTCGATTTGCTGCTACATTACGTCGTCAATTGTGGAAGGAGCATTTGGGTCTATTGGAAGATCAACCTTTGGATGTTTTGAATGATGCAATGCTGCCTTTGCCTGTGCCTCAGATCGATTACACTGACACTGAGGAGGATATTCTGGTCCAAGATCCGCTTTCTGAAGAGAGCCTTGATTTATGGAATTCTACTGCCAGTATTAACACAGAGGCATTTAGAGCTGTGTTCAATTGCGTGCCTGAAGAAAGTGGTCAGTTATACGATAGATAACTTAAAAAAAAATATTTGAGAATCAAATGTTTATATGTAGAAATACTCGTGGTAAACTTATCCCTCCTCTCTCTCTTATTCCATCTTTGATTAGTGAACAATTGGGAGGAATACAAGCAATTCTACCCTGACCCTGAGAAAATCAACATTGGCCATATCAGTAACCCCAACATGCCTGTAGATGAGATTAGAGGTCATCTCTCCAAGATCCGTGGACACTTGGTCGAATTCCCTTATGGCTTCCTAAAGGATGTTGATCTTCAAGGCGAATCGATCCCTGTTATTAGCAATGTTGTCCAGGAATTGTACACTTAATCATCATCACCATTATTATCATTATTATCATTATTATTACTATTATTTTAGCTTATTTTTATGGCCCTTTTTTTTTTTTTTTTTTTTTTACAATAATTATAAAATTAATTAAAAAGAATATTATTGAGATTATTAAAGTCGATTGAATTTGATACAAGAATATTCGATTTTTTTTTAATAATTAAATTCATACAAGAAAAGCTTTATTTAGTTGGCCACACGTGCACGTCTCTTCTTTTGCTTTGCCTAATAAGATAACATTTCAATTTGACATTAGAAACCCTTGGAGTATCAGTCCACACACAACAACAACAATATCTTGAGAATTTTACCTTGAGCTTTCCCTTGAGTTTAGAAGTCTTGTTAGGTTTTGTTGATATTTCACGTACGAGCTGGAAGGTACTGTTCTCAGCAGACATTGTGGCAGGCATGGCCACTCTTTGGAAGATTCCTCTTGTAAGTAATGACAGCATTGAAATTGTAAATTGATAATTAAAGGTTTTCCTCTTTTTTTTTTCCTTTCTTCTTTTGTTTATTTTTTTATTTTTATTTTTCAGTTCATCGATTTTAATGAGCGGGATTTTAAGAGGTTGCCAAGGAAGCAATTCCTATTTTTGGATTTTATATTACGGATTTTACTTATTTATATATATTATTATTATTTTTGACTCTGAAGAGCAAAATAAAAAAAAAAGTAAAGAGATTTACTGGATTGACTGAGAGAAAATAGGCAGAAAAAGAAAAGAAAGAAAGAAATAAAGAAAGAGAGAAAAATTCTAGAACTTGATCAGCAGCTAATTATTTGCCTCTTCCAAAATGTTTCTCTCTTTTCTTCTTTCCCTTCTTCTTCTTCTTCTTCTTCTTCTTCTTCTTGCCTTTTTTTTTTTACTTCTTTATTCCTTTTAATTTGATTTAATTTAATTTAATTTAATTTATTGCTTGAAGCTGTTGATAAACTCGATAATACACATCCTCGAACTACCAACCCACAAGAGCTGTATATTCTATATACTGAGAACCAAAGAAATAATAACGAAAGAACGAAAGGCAACCATAGCAACCACAACAACTACAGCAACCATAGCAACAGTGTGAAAAAAAGGAGCCTCACATTCTCGACTCCATTTTGATCCCATAAATATATTTATAAAATATAAATTTTTATATCTATATTTATATTTATATTTATATTTATATTTATATTTATATTTATATTTATATTTATATTTATTTATATATACATAAATATAAATATATATATATATATATAAATATATTTGTACCTGTATATCTTCTATTCACCGTTCAACAAACCAAACCAAAAAAAAAAAAACCTTCTTTACTTAAAAAGAAAATAATCATTTGGGCTGGCAAAAGCTGCTTATTTCATCAAACCCCTCAATTCTGTCCGTAATGCTTCAAGAAAAATACATTGGCCTCACACTGGCCATGTGCTCAAGTGTCTTTATCGGTCTCTCATTTATCATTACAAAAAAAGGCCTCATTAACTCAAAACGGCGTCATGGTAAGTCTTTGCTATCGATCGCATCACAATAGGTCCGTGCATCTTAAGCAGTATATTTAAACGCGCTTTTTTCATTTCATTTTATTTTATTTTATTTTTTGGTTTGGAACAGGCAATGCAGCAGAAGAAGGAGGTCATTACTACCTACGCAATTGGACATGGTGGGCTGGTATGGGAACAAGTAAGTAACCTCAAGTGATATTTCTAGTATAGCCCTACACACACAAATAAAGGGGTAAAGAATATAATATAGTAATCATACATATGTAATTTACACAAAACATATTAAGAGAATAAGAAAGACGGCAGACATACATAGATTATATATATATATATATATATATATATATATATGTATATATGTATACATATATGATTCTTACAGAAACTGTTAACTATAGTGGCCGTTGGTGAAATCCTCAATTTCTCGGCCTATTCATTCGCCCCTGCTATCCTCGTAACACCCCTTGGTGCCCTTAGTGTGATCCTGGGGTAAGACAATAAATTACAATTCAAGAAAAGGATATGAAAGCAAAAGTGAAAGGAAAAGGAAAAGGAAGAAAGGGAAACTTATGGTCTTGTGTTTTAGAGCCATATTTGCATCCCTATTCCTTCGAGAAAAACTTGGTGCTATTGGAAAGATCGGATGTCTTTTGTCCGTAATTGGTGCAGTTATTATCGTACTACATGCTCCAGAAGACAAAGAAGTTACCTCAATCGATGAATTATTATTCTATGCTCTCCAGCCTGGTAAGTTTATCTGTACAGAATTAGAAGAAATACGATATATATATATATATATATATGTGTGTGTGTGTGTGTGTGTGCGTGCGAATTGTATAATACTTATACGTATATTAGCATTCATGACCTACTGTGCAATGGTGGTTATTGTGAGTCTGATCATGATCTATTTGGTCGTCCCTCGTTATGGAAAAAAGAACCCCTTCGTCTACATCTCCATCTGCTCACTTGTGGGTTCAGTCTCGGTCATGTCCATCAAAGCTTTCGGAATCGCCCTCAAGTTGACCTTTGCAGGCAATAACCAATTTACACATCCTTCTACCTACGCATTTGGTATAGTCGTAATTGTTTGCATCATCACCCAGATGAATTACTTTAACAAGGCCCTTGACCAATTCTCTACCAATGTGTAAGTTGTCTTCTTATTTGTCGATCGATAAATACAAACAATAGCTCAAATATCCTCTACATTGCAGTGTAAATCCTATCTATTTTGTCATGTTTACTTCAAGTGTATTGGTTGCATCGGCCATTCTGTTTCAGGGGTTCAACACAGATAATACCGTAAATGTAGTCTCGTTGATCTGCGGCTTCATTATCATTTTTGCAGGCGTCTATCTCCTGGACTCCATTGCACGTGGCGCTGGCGCCGGTGGAGGAGGAGGAGGAGGAGTGGGAGACCATCTAGGATCTCCAGAAGAACAGGGCTTCTTAATGGGTGAAGACGAAGAAGATGCTATGGGTCTCACTGATCTAAGTGCCTCGGACGAAGAAAGGTTAAGACGATCCAATAGATAGATAATGTCATGTATTAACCCTCTTTCTCTTTCTCTTAAATTCCCTACATCTTCTTTTCTCCTTCTTATTATTATTATTATTTTTTGTGTTTTTTTTTCCTTTCTTTATATTCTTCTTCTTCTTCTTTTTTATATTACTTTACATAGTTTCTTGAAAGGCCTTGCCAATGCACATAGACAGACAGATTTATAAAAAGTGTTGAATGTTTTCAATGTAATAAAAAAAACAGCCCTTTTTTAATGTATAAAAAATTATATAAGTAATAAGTAATAAGTAATAAGTAATAAGTATATGTATATGTATATGTATATGTATATGTATATGAGTATGAGTATGAGTATGAGTATGATTATGATTATGATTATGATTATGATTATGTGTATGTGTATGTGTATGTGTATGTGTATGTGTATGTGTATGTATATATCTAATTAGTGAATAAGTGTAAACGTGTATAATAGAAAGTAATTAGGCTGGTTCGATCTCAAGGCTCAGTTCTCGAATCTTCTCGGTTGTCAAGGCATCGACTTGGAAACAAAGATCATTCAATGCCTCACGGGTCTCGAACGAATATCGACGCGCCAGATTCTGAAACGTAAGCACTCGCTTGATCACAGTAGCAATAATTCTGTGCTTCCTGAAATTGACCAGCGATTGTTTCAATACAGGAGAAATGGGCGTGTTCTGAGTATTGGCCTGATAGATCTTGTGGTTCGCGCGATCAGGCTCGATGTAAGCTGGCTGCTCCGAATTGAAAACGAGATCAGACAAGTAAATCCCCAGGAACGGAATGCAACCACCAAACGGCAACTTTATCTTGGTCTTACTAGCACCGTTGTGCGTACCCGGCATTTCAATCTGAACCTCGGTGGGCGACATGCCGTATTCCTCTGCCACCATCATCATACTATCTCTGATGGATTTCCAATTCCTCATAGGGGACGTAAAAGCCGAGAGCTGGTCTAGGAGTTTCATCTCAGACGTACCAACCCGCGACCATGTTTTTCGAAGGCGAGATACAGAAGGAGATTGAAGTCCCAAAAGAATCTGCACGAGCGTAGCAAAGTTGCAGAACAGTTTGCATTTCTGATTTTGTTTTTTTATATATGTAATCAAAAGGCAGTGTATTTTAGTTTTATTATTCTCTGCATTCCCCACCATATTATCAACTTACTTGAGCTAGGCGGATAAACTTCTCAATAACCCGCACGCGTTCATCGATCTGACGCGTCCGTACAATCTCACTAGCCACCCAAAGACAGACCGCATTGAACCGTTTGATAACCTGCTCGACACCACCGTGATCCTTGCGTGTCAGCTGAATTTGACGCGTCCGGCGTGTGTAATTTATATCGTTGTTCTGCCGTCCAAACAAATCTTCTTCCTCTTCTTCCTCTTCATCTTCTTCATCTTCATACCCTTCCGTAGGTCCGAAATCTCCCTTCATGGCGTCCATTTTTGTCCATTTGCAATGAACCATCTCCTCCCAATTTACATCCAACAACACCGTCTTTTCAATCAAACACAACTGTTGAGCCATATGCTCTGATCGGTACATCAGGATAAAAGAGCGGTAGCCCCAGTTGTTTTCTACTCGATCATGGCTTATCATACTGGTTCCCAGAGAATGAATCGGGCGAGGGATCGATGGCATCGAGACCGCACTTGCACTCTTTGTAGGATACCTTCCAGGAGAAGGCGCAGACGCTGACGAGGGTTGGACAGTTGGGTGGATTGGCATCAATGGTCCCGCAATAGACGCCGATTGGTCTGTCACACACGATTGTTGGGTAGCAGCTACACTTAGGCCACCACCATCGTGATGATCGAACGGTCCGGCTGTCTGGTTAATAGTAGACGAAGTGGTCGTAGCTGAGAACATCAGGTCAGTCGAGGAGCCTCTTCCAGGCATCCCGTGTGGTGATTGGGTGTCTGTTGGATGGATATTCGAAAGAGGTCGAAGATAACTCAGATAAAGAGGTCCATCTCGTTTTTCCATTGTTGGCATAGGCTCCTTGGGGGCGGCCACAGGCTCGAACACCGGTCCACGATCGAAGCTAGCCCCTCTTCGTCTTCTCAGCTCCATACTATGGCGTCGTTCATCGTCACCTTCGGGATGGAGTAACAAGCTGATGCGCTTACATTCTTGAGTCCGTTCTGGAATCTTGCTACACGTTGCACACTCGCATTGGAGCGAGTCCTGACGCAGTGCCTCGGCAATTCGTATCACCATCTGTCCAGCTGGAATAACAGGATTTGACTTCTTTTTACGGATCGTATTCTGCTGCTGCTGTTGCGGGGTCTGAACTGTTTCGGGAATGGGCTGTATTTGTGCCTGGGACTGTGGTTGTGGCTGTAGCTGTGGCTGTGGCTGTGTTTGTGTTTGTGTTTGTGCTTGCGCTTGTGTTTGTGTTTGTACTTGTGCCAGTGTTAGTTTTTGTGCTTGCAATTGTGGTGTTGGTGGGGATATCTCAACCTGAGGTGATATTACAAATGGTTGATCGTTTGGGGTGGAAAATACTTTGGCAATTGTCTTTGCTAGCCCGCGTCTGCCGTTGAGATCAATTTGCTTGTCATTTAAGGGTGTCGGTGTGAGGGAAGGTGCGGGGTGATCAGCGCGGGTTTGGTCATAGGCAATGGCTTTAAAAGATTCAATCGAAGTTGTTTTTAGGCTCTTGGATTTTCTTGGCGATTTTTGTTGATCTGAGCTAGCCTGTGTTTGAGTTTGTTGCTGCTGTTGTTGTTGTTGTTGCTGTGGTTGTTGCTGTGATTGGGGTTGCGGTTGCGGTTGATTGTGTATCTTTTCGTTCAACTGACGTTCGCTCTTACGCTTCTCGATGCTCTTTTTGGATAAATTTTTCGCCAGTCCTTCAGGTGGCCAACTTTCTTTGAGTTTGCAGCTCTCAAAAAAGATATCTTTTTCCTCATTTATCGGGCTCACTAACTTATTTGGAGCTACCCGGCGCCCCGCACTTGGCCTTCGATTGAACAAATGTGTCGATTGTGATGGAATGTTCTCGAACGCAGCCATACGAGAAGCTACAAGTCCTTTTTTGACTGGTACAATAGGCGAAGTGGGACTTTCTTGCGGACTCGGGCTATCTGTCTTGAATGCCTGTAGTCGTGTCTGAAGTGTGTCAATTAATGGCAAAGCTGTATTTGGTTCAGATGACTTGTATGCATTAGTTATTGTTGGACTTGTTGGAGGTGTAGCTGTAGCTGTGACTGTAGGTGGAGCTGTGGTAGGGGTAGGGGTAGTGGTAGGTATCTGAGGTAAAGTAACCAGAGGTTCTGGATGACGTATACTGGAAGAAGATCCCATACGTGAGACAGAAGGTGATGGGCCTTGTGGTTCTACAGACGGATTTCCAGAAAAGAATTCGGCTCGTTTGCGCTCATCTTCCTCTTCACGTCGGCGCCGTTCAGACTCAAGCTTGGCAGTTAGTTGTTCATTAATATCATTAAAATGAGCTGTACTCTGTCTTTCTAATGCCGCTGCCGCTCTAGACTTTTCTCTATCCATATCTTCGTCTTCGAGATCTTCGTCTTCGTCGTCATCCTCTGCCAGAGAATCTTCTTCGCTTATCTCTGCATCTGTTGTACCGGGACTAATGGCACTTTCGAGTGAATCATCTGTCACAACACTAGATCGTGAACTTTCTTCAGGTACAGCTGGTTCTGGGGGATCGACAGGAGGAGCAGGAGAAGAAGAATTAGGAGAACTTTCATCTTCCTCGAGAAATCTTTTCTGTTGTTCCATTCGATGTAAATAAGATGCTTTGATAGCCATGACGTCCATTTTGCTTTGCCCAGTGCGCGCCATACTAAACGCACTTGAGGCATAACGAGAAATGTTATTGTAATTTGTGTCTGAGTCCCAGGCAGAAGATGTCGTGGATGCCCGGTACCCTTCACTTTCTGGGTGACTTCCGGTAGCCGAATGAGAGTTTCGTACGCTTCCGATCACAACTACTGGTGCCCTGCGTGCATCCTGGACTGCCATGTTTCCATTATGCTGCCCACCCACATCAACACCTCCACCAAAGGTTGTCTTGCGGCGAATGGCACTCTGGGATAGTTTGGCTCGTACCATTTCACCAACACGCTCCTGACCCGAGGTTGGAGGTGGTGGTGCGATGACCTGGACACGTTCAGAAGCTGAGCTGCGATAATACACTTTTTTTAGACGTCGCACCACTCGTTTGAGGCCTTTGACGATTCGCTGGTCTCTGGGCGAATGTCGGACGACGGGATGGTATGGCAAAGTGTTGAGGAAATTTGTTAGGACAATTCGAAGTTCACGACATGGAATGAAATCGTGTACAAAGTAGTTTAGTAACCAGTGTCTCATTACCACAAATGTCCTACAATGGAATATAAAATCGAGAACAATTATATAAATAAAAAAAAAGAATAAAACACTAAATTCAGCGTGCTTTCTTTTTTTTTATTTTCTTTTATTTTATTTTTTGTTTCACTGTGTTGCGTTGTGATTTTGTGCTGCAATATGCTACATTAGGGTTTTGTGATTTACCTGATCCTCACAACTCGTCTGTCTTCTTCGTCGTTTAATAAAGCCCACTCAAAGCGTAGAATCAATAACTTGCACAGTTGAGTAGGTGAGATAAATGTACGATAGGTCAAGAAGAAGTCGGTCATGAAGTTGTAATCTACAGTAGGACGAATTAACTAAAATATCAATATCCACGTTTATGAAAATAAAAATAAAAATAAAAATACAACGAAATCTGCACAATATATATATATATATATATATATTTAAAACACATACACACACACATAAAACGTACCGAGTGTACTTGTCAACTTCTGTACCAGCTTTTCTACTGTGGCAGCTTCAATTACTTGTGGGATAGGAGCTTCTTTAATGGGTTGTTCTTCGGGTTCTTTTCGGATCGGCCTCTTGCCAAGTGCCTTTCGTAGCAAAACCGAACCCCTATGATCTCCTTCTGAGGAATCCTTGGTGAGAAAGGATGATATTACACTGTGTGGGCGTGGTTTTTTCAATTGAATGCTTTTTGAGAATTTCAGGCCATCCGAGAATATCTGTGCTGGCCACCGAGTTGGGCCTAGCATGGATTTCTTTGATCGCATATTCTGATTATTAATCTGCCCAAGATTTTCTGTGGTAGATGTTGTGTTCGATGAAAATCCACGTGAAGGTGCCATGGTTGAGCTTGAGCTGGTGGTTATGGACCGAATAGATTGTGTGGAGAGTGTAGCACTCGGAGATGGCCTTGATCGCATTGAGAGAGCCTGTGGGTCAGGACCCCAAATGATAATTCGGTCATCTTCGTCTGATCGCAAGAGATCAAATATGGCAGGTGGATAGCCAATAAACACGAGGGGTGGTGCGACTTCCCAAGGCTCAATTTTGTTGGTTGGTACACGCGTATTGAAGGTATTATTGGCATAAGTAGGCGAGGAAATTGATCGGAGTGGGGTAGAGGGAATGGTAGTAGGGTTAGTATTAGCATTAGTAGCAGTAGTAAGGCGTGTGCCAGTTGTGATGGTTGTGGCATTTGAGAAGTTTAAGCTCGGGTCGGAAAAGAGGTCGTCCTGAAAGTGGCAAACGCTTGGAATATCAGGCAACGTGAGTTTCACTGGCATAGGTTCTGGAGATGGGGTTTCTGCTGAAAGAAAGGGACGGAGACCGTTTTTGAGAGCGTGTGTACCAACAGGATCAAGTACAGAGTCGACCAGCGACGTGAATGTCTGTTGTGAGGAATCTCTTTCGAGTGACCATCGCTCATTAGTATTTGGTGATGGTGTTGTGTCAGGCGGAGAGATTCGAATGGCATGTGGTTCTTCGTCGGGTTTGTGATCTTGTTGCAATCCTGTCAAGGTATCATTACTCGGTCGCTCCCAGAATATCTTTGAATCTGCATAATCTTTAACGCCAAACACTGTTGCCAATGCTGCTCGTTCTCTGCCTCCTTCGCTGGTATCATTCAGGAACTCGAGAGGGATGATGGAATTGTTTCGTTTACGTCGAGGAGCTGGGATTGCAGTTTCACACGGTAATGGAATGTCTGTTGTCATTGCGACAGCTTTATTGAACTGGTCTGCTTTATCTGTTGCCATGGTGTATTCTGACCTGGCAGGTATTTTTTGGCTAGTGAGAATTGGATATGTGTGTGTATTGTGCTTATGTGTGTTCTTATGTTCTTATGTATGAAATGTATATATATACATATATATATATGTGTGTGTGTGTGTGTGTGTTTAAAAGGAAAGGATTTTTATGTGTACAAATACATATATTTATATATATTTATATATATATATATATAAAATATATATAAATTAATAGATAAATAGATAGATAGATAGATAGATAGATATATTTAAAAAAAGAAGCGTTGCCAAAATGTACTTTCTTTTTTTCTTATGGCGCTATTTATATTTATATATATTATATATTATATATATATTTCATTTACCTGTTTTCCCAGTAACTATCCTGAGAAATAACTGATCCATTGGATTCATCTATTGTAAGATTCCAAGATATTGACTCTTTTGCTGGCATCTACAACGCAGTATTTCGTTCAATTCAATTCAATACAATGGTAATTCGAATCTTGGTTCTTCTTTTTATTCTTTGGCTGTAATGAAACAAAGTGAGACTAGATAGATAAATAACACTCAAGGCCTTTAACTCTGGAGTGGGTAAGCGTATATGTAATGTAATGCAATGCAATACAGGAGATGAGGAAGAGAAAGGGAAGCAGAACAAAAACAAAAAAAAAACAAAAAACTGGATATTTATATTTGTATTTGTATTTGTATTTAATATAAATATAAATATAAATATTTAAATTAACACACGCACACGCACGCACACACAGGATATATAAATATGTAATTAAGCTGACAATAAGAGTAGTCTGAACAGGATTAACAATTGCTTATGATTACCATACAAATATATATATATTGTTCCTCAAATAGTAAAACATATTAAATCAATAAATTAGCTTTTTAGTTATTTATTTGGTATTTGTTTGTAGTGCTCATTACCGTTAATTCCAATGTCCAAGTCTGTATGCTCTATTACTGCCATTACCTCAAGCACAAACGCCCTCTTCGTCAAGTATCTTGTACACGCACCATTGTGCAAATAGTTTTGTTATTGTCTCAATTGATTTAAATTACTTAATTCTGTTACACTTGTTCCTAGAAGCCCTACAGCTTTAACCCCTTGAGAATCCTACAATCACCGCTTAAAACACATCACATTTGCCACTCCTAAGGAACACAAGAAAAATGGCGCAAAAATAAAATAAAATAAAATAAAAAATAAAAACGAATCACTATTTTATTGCCTTTTTGTTTATCGTATATTCAAACTATTCAAATCACAATAGTTACAAGATTCCTGTCAAGGTCTTGAGGTAGCCTTCTTATTCAATACCATGTAACTTCTTTGTTTTTATTTTTCTTTTGAAAAATAAATAAATCAACACATCTCTTAATCACGAGATATTTTACCTTGTTGTATTTTGGCCACCGCTTCACACCCCCTTTAGAAACCTGCCCTAAAATCCCTAGCTGACGATCAAGGACATATAGTCTTTTTTAAATTGAAAATGATATGATTCTTTATTTTATCTTGCATTATTTTTCTGGGGGTGAAAGACACTAGTAAAAACGAAATGATCATTTTACTTGAAAGGGTTATTGAGTCAAGAGGTTTTCTTTTTTTGGTTAACTCCAGGTAAATTTTGGCGATATCTTTTCTATTAAAATCACATATCCAAAAGCAATAATTAAAGTATTGTGTTCAAATTTTGAAGGTCTTTTACAGCAACCTATTTATTCTTCCTGAGATATTCGGAGAAGTGTATCTACGCTGTCTGGTGGATTTACTTTGATATTGTTTTGATATTCGGTTAGGATCATTTGGTATAACTTCTTTAAAAATGATAGAGATAGTGGTGCATGAGCACAACCAAATTTTTGGCATATTTATTGTGCTTGTGATATAAGCAAGAAAAAATGATGACGATAAGGTTATACAGCAATCTTACAGGGACAACGCTTCCTGGTGGGGCACGACGTTTCTATCTAACCGGACTTATTTGTGACTATCTGTCCGTGAGTCTGGTGTTCTTCTCTAGTCTTTCAGGGTAAAATGTTGTGTCCTAAAAAAAACACAATATATTCATTGTACACATTAGCTTACTACTTTGTCTCCATACTTTTTGTTTATCAATCTCTCCCCAGACACCTACCTTTCATTACTTTAAGAGCCACAATCAATATTTGGGCAACTTAATAATAAAATGCCTCATATGAGAAACAAATCCTGTATATTCAATTAGTAGCACCGAATTTGGACTTGAAAATAAAGAAATAATAATTGGTCTCAAATATGCTATATCAATAGCCAGTTATTCGGAAGGTTATAAAGAGTTGTTGTCATTAGAGTGTGATGAAATCTTGTTGGATATTTTACTATTTACTAGTTTTTTACGCGTATCATGTCTTTCTCTTTCTCTCACCTACTTATATTCCCAGTGTATGACAGCACTAACTGGTAAGTAGTCTTCATCCACTCTTTTTTTAAAAAGCACAAGAGAAAATATTTTTACGAATATTATGCATCCTTAGGGACCAGACAGAATTGTTTCATACCGGTAAAAAGGTCAGGATTTGTGGTCCGGTAGAATCAAGATGTCGTCTCCTACCAGGAAACATAGTCCCCCTAAAATCAGCGATTATTCTATAAATGGTGTATAAGTTCTTTGATAAAATATTATACTAAATTTAATTATGATAATACATTCATAAGCTAAAGACATTTGTGGTTTAGAGTATCCTAATTTTGGCTATATTTTTGACTTGATCTTTTATTTTTGAGAGTAGCATCAAAGTAAATCCTAAAAATACAATAAAAGAGGACAGTTCTTGAATCACACTTATCATATTCAAGTCATACTAGAATGTAGATTGATTTCAAGAATATATTCTACCCTCCTGATGATCATTATATATTTCATAACGTTCATATCTTATATATATATAATGACTATGAAGTATCGAAAATAATAAAAGAAACAAAGTTGGAAATGCGTTTTTTTTTGTAAAATTATCATTTTTGACGTGCTTAGAAAGGGAAACTAAGATTATGGTCTTGTTCTTCTGATTGTATCTGTACCAGCCTTTAACAATAAAGTTGCAATATAAACCTGATAAATATAGCTCTACAAAGTTTATGAATTCGATACGAGTTAACATGTAGTCAAGCGTGATTCTAAAGACGGGGACAGTACTTCCCTGAGCGTACGTAGGGACAAAACTGCAGAGTATTAAAACCACATTTAACAAAAGACTAGCTCTTTTTCGATATTTCTGGAAGAGAATATTTTGTAACGGTGGTAATTAGAAGAAAAGTATCTTAATACCGCGCGCTAAATACATATTAGGGTGTTTGCCTTCTCAAAAACGTAAAATTTATAAGATATTTGGTAAAATTACTTTACTAGACTCTAAAAACAACATTGTCTTCTCCATATTGGCAGTTGTTTGTTTTTAAATGACTTATTCAGATTATTATAATTGAAAGGTATGGTATACGTTGTTTTTCTGCTTTTTAGTTTTTGATTTATATGTAATAAATTATTTGTATGAGACAAAGAGATCTTAGTACTACATACTGTAAAGGTGTAATGTACATCTATCACTACACTAGAAATACGATTCATAATCATGGATTAACATAATGCATCTTTATTTTCTCATGAGCAATTGCTCCAAATAACAAATACTATAAATGATTTCATAATAATAATAATAATAATAATAAAGTTCCACATCGCAATTTACTATTGTACTCAAGTGGCAAGCTTAGGAAACAGATTTGTACATTTCAGCAGTAAAGACGAGAATGACTCTGATTGCGATCTGAAAGAAATCTCAAAATAAGACCAGATATAAAATATTAAACATATATATTCGTCCAAGTAAGATAATAAGAAAAGACTAGTATAAGTATATTAAGATCAAATTATTCTACAGGCGGATCATCTGCATTCTAATATTGGCCATTATTAGTTTGAGCAAGGAGTAGTTTTTGGATTATTTTTCAAAGCTAAACAATTCAACTCAACGTATACTTGACTCACTATTGAATTATAGTATATTAATTCAAATTTAATTAGATCAATACGCTCAATATTATGCATAAACAGGTTCATTGTATATAGAACACTATAAACCTCAAAAACAAATTCTAAAAAAAAGCACCCTTTTACTGAAATAAGTTATTTAACGTTAAACAAGTGAGAAAAAAAAAGAGAGAGGATAACCTGCATATCATTGATAGCTTTATTAACATCTCACGAGAAAGGTAACTAGCTCTAGATACGCTTTAATGAATCACATGAAACATAAGAAAGTATAATTCAAATCATTCATACTTTTCAGTACATAAGAGAGAACTATGGGTTGCATTCGAAACAAGCAACAAATTACAATGCAGAAAGAGACACCATAAGGAATATTGAGCTACGGCTTAATATAATATGTAAATAGGAAGCTTCTAGTGCATATTGCTGGAATAAAATATTAGGGTCTTTGTACTTGAAGTTAGTTCCACAAATCATAATATGCTGTCCTTGATAAAAAGCTGGAACATTACCAAATCTGAATATAATTTATCTTTACGTTTTTATTTGTTTTTGGATATGTGGTTTTAATAGAGAGAATTGCTAAGTTTATCTTGTATTTTTTTTTTAAAAAAAAAAAAAAAGAGAAAAAAACTCTTGGCTTAATAGCCATTTAAAGTACTAAAGACTTTGTCTGTGACTCAGCTAACCTGTGTAAACTGCGACAACGCCACCACCTTGCAAGACCCACAGTCTCCTTGATTATGTACATTTAAATAATCCAATGATTTCTCCTTAATATTTTGCTAAATGGTCTCATATAATTCTACATAGTGGGCTTTGATCCTGAAAATAATAAATAAATAGCCTTATGTAAATATAGGTATATTATACCATTGGCTCTACTGATTTATGACACTAATTTTTGTGTGCAGGATTGTGTCTTGGTCTAACCTGTTGATTAATCAGTTTATTAATTATTTCTATATTAAACCCATCACAGAAACCGATTGAGCTCTCAAGTCAAGTATATATATATATATGTATGATACAGCAAGCAATTATTATTTAAATTATTATCCGGCTAAATACAATTGATTAAGTGGCGTAACTAGATATAGAGGGGATCATTAATTCTCTTTGGCCACCGTCCACCAGCTGTTACGCCAGGAAATCAATGACATTCCGGAATCACGATAAAGAAAGTCAGCAAACAAAAAAGATGTTCTCCAAGATCGTCAGGTTCCACCAGTGTCACGTTTGTGATTCCAAGGTCAAACGGTCAGCATAAATATAAATATAAATAAATATACACTTGACTAATCTGAGAAGAACGAACTGGCCAGATTTCGGCTTCAGAATTCAATATGGAAAACCTGTCAGAATCATACAAAGGCTCGTCTGGTCGTGATATTGGCTGTGGCCTTCCTAGACATTTATAATCGCACACGCGCACAAGAAGGAATCCTTAATGTATACATGACACAAATAGGATCTTTTCACTTTCCAACTTTGTCCCACATATCTGTTTTTTGTTTTGACAATTGTTCCATTTCCTTGTAGGACGCCTTGGTATTCAAATGCATGGATAATAGTTAGAATTCCCTATTGTTCTTATCAAAATTTCTTCTTGTAAATATCGTAGTTTTTATGAAACATTTACTCGAATTACTTTTACTTGCTTACGAATATCACTTATTAAATATTCTTCGCATACAAAACTGGCCTGTGCCATATTTGGTTGTGCATTTACATAAATAGTTGTGTAACAGAATAAAAGGTGTCAATTAGAGTCAGTTTCGAAGCACTATGTAACGGAAGTATACTTTTTTTTTGCTACTAGCGATGAGACAAGGAAATGATTTGTCCCAACAAAAAAAAACATGTTTAGTTTTTTAAAAATATAAAATTTCCAAGTCTTTCTAACGCAAATAGAAAATGCAGGGTTCAACCTTTACAAAATCACAGCAACAAAGTAATGTTAAGCTTTAAAGATATCTTAATATTTGGCAAAAAGGATACTTGTATAGCTAATTTAAACCGCTGAATAAAATAGTCCTTGTTTTTAAATAATCATATTTATTGTATGGTTACTTATCAGAATATATTAAAAAAAAGAGAGGGAAAAGTGTATAGTTTATAAAGTACTTGATGATGTAATGGTAGTTAGTTGTTCTATATTGTTTTGAATTATATACTTGAAGTTTCTTTTCTTCTTCTCCTTAATACTCCCATCGTCTAGCCAGGTGTTCTAATGTGCTCGCCATATTTTTCCAAGATGCAAGTCCATTCTTGACAGGCAAGTAATTGTTCTTAGCAGCATCTTCAGTAACATGAGTAACCTAGATAAACTACAGTTAGATTTATGTTATATCACTTTCATCTCCAAATGTTTACCTTTAATTCATTAAAGCCTGTGTGGCCTTCTTGTTTTTGTGTGTGACTCAAGGTTACTAAGCAATCGTCAATCAAATGCTGACGTTCGTTTTTAAAGGACACATCTACTAGAGCCATGTTTGATCCAGCAACATTATCTTGGCTCCAGAAATTTGGACAAGATAATTCGTTATATCTAAAGTAATAAGTGTGAGCGACGTCTTGTCTTGTCTTGTCTTGACTTTGGTTGTTACTAATTAATCAGTTAAGACATTCTTACCCTATGAGGCTACACTTTTTGATCAATTCTTCTACAGAACTGGGTAACGGAAGGTTTACATAACCCTCAGGAGTAGCCAATTGTTCATTTGTGTACAAGCTGTAACGCTTGGCGAGGATACGCATATCGATTCGTCTACACACACAAAAGAAGAATTCCATTTGTCAGAAAGGTATATGATGATATTTATAGACCATAAAGTTAATTTACCCAGATACACAGATAGCATCCACAGCAGCTCTACCATGCTCTCCCAAAACACGATCGAGTTTAATAGACCCATCGTTTTGTTCCGAGAATTCTACAGTCAAACGCTCCAGGCCATTGTCTTTACTTCTTGGGTCAAGGCTCGTTAAAAAAGATGTATTGACATAATGAGCTTGGATAATACGCTTGTGGAGACTTCCGTCAACTTCAATAGGAATTAAAGGAGTCACAAAGTTTGCTGGAGGGGTTCTAATACATTTTAATGGCATTGTCTTGTTAAAACCATCAATTTACTTTCTTTCTTCATTTCGTCTTTATATTTCAAAGGAAAGGAGCTTACGTGGGGAAAAAGATACGTCGTTCGTAATATCGTTCATTCATAATGTTTTGGAATTGCTCAAAACCAAAAGAACCTTCCAGACCTGGGGTCAGTAAATTCATTTGTGCTTGGTTTGTGACAGGGTTCTTGAGCAATAAATGACCAAAGCTGTAGAAACATATATTTAAATAAGGATGTAAAGGATACAATATGTTTTATACTTTTCGTTTTTTATGTAGTCGTTAACTTACAAGGCTTCTACAGAAATATTCTCTTTGGTTTCATCTGATACTTTCAATGTGTCACGTAAAAGGTCTGCAATTTTAGAGAATTCAATGGTCGACTGTTCTGATTCGCTACATAGTAATGAAAGTGATCGTGGGTTAGAGAATGTAATATAAATATCTGCTATAAATATTAATCAGTTTGAATATACCTTTTGTTTGAAACCATTCGTAATAAAGATTCCTGATGCTGGGAGCCAAAAGGCTTTGTATATCCACATATAGTTATATAAGAAACACTAGATGTTTTTTTTTTGCTTGGTCCAGATATCTAACTACCCTTTCGCTTGCTTACCCGATATTGATCATGGTTAGTATCATGCACAACTCTACTCCACCCAACGTTTCTGGCTGATAATGGCATAGCTGAGGCGTCGTGAATAGGGGTAAGTGAATAAAAGTCTTTTGGCTTTACAGATAAGTTTGTAAGATCTTTGGAGATGGCAATTAAAGTATGATCAGACACAGACAAAGGCTTCTTGTCAGTGTAGCCCATCTAATGTATATTTTTAAATCCATTATAAGTTGAGTATAATTAGTTTTTAGATCATAATCTCAATAGCCTATTGCATGCACATACACACAAACATATATATATGTATATTTGTAGAAATGTGTGAATACAGCCCTTATCTTATTTTTATTTACCTCTGTCAAAACCAACTCTAATTGACGTTTGCTACTATCCAGGGACTTTTGGGATAATGCGGCAATATGAAACTAAATTTCCAGCCATAAATACATCAATTCCTTTTTCCTTTGTCGAATTAAACTCTAATTTATTACTTACCTTTCCGTCATTTATACTAATATAGGTATTTGATATTTTAGAAATGTCTGAAAGCAAGTTCTTTGATTGTACCGCAAAATCAGTTTTTGCCATATCATCTTTCAATTGAGGAATATCATATTCCTTTTTGACGATCGGCAAACAGGATTTAATTTCTTGTCTAGCTATCTCAACTTCTTCTGGAAGGCCTTCCAGGACATACTGTGACTTGCTCACGTCAATTGTGATGGTAGCCTTGCTCATATTCTCAATGTTGCGAAGAGTAGCACCATTGTTACCAATCACAAAGAACAATTCCTCCTTTGATGCTGAAACCTGCTGTCTGACCTGACGTGCCTTAAGGCTTTTCAATTCTTTATGCACTTGTTCTTCTGAGAGTACACCCCAGCATTCGTTCGCGATCTGTCGAAGTACTGCTCGTTTAAGTTTCTTGGGGGCGATCCCTTTTGCCTTTATATATTCGCGCAATTGAGCGACATTGTAACATCGGTTAAGGAGCTCGATCAATTTGTTGTATCTTTCTGCGCTGATTCCTCGAGGATTACTATTAATTCGATGTGAATCGATCTCCATAATAAGATCTGATCGTTCAGCCTCAAGAGACTGAGATGGTGGTGATTCTACAAGTCTCTGCATAATAGCCTGTAGGCGTTCAGGTGAAAGCATTTCAGGTACAGCCTTCTTATTTGCTTTGGATTTTGCAAGTTTGGTAGTGGTATTGGGTCCGGTTGCAGCAGATTCGCTAGCAGATTCGCTAGCCGGCTCGCTAGAAGGTTCGTTTGTGCATGCCATGGTAGAGTGGAAAGGCATCAGCCGAGTTAATAAGGGTGCATTTCTGGTAAAGACAGGTCGTCTGACCAAAGTCTGAGCGGAAGAAAGACGGCGCAAGGTCAAGAACATAGTAAGGGCATGTCTTTACAGGAGAAAAAAAAAGTCAAGGCTTCTCAATAGGTCTAGTGTAAAAATAATTCTTTACTCGAGCGGCAGTCACGCCCTGTCAATTTCACACTCATGCAAGGTTAAGAGCTAAAATTACTGGGAATTTACAGCTCCGATAAACTGCTGTTGTGCGACTTTTTTTTTAAAAAAAAAAAAAAGGCTAAACTAAGTGATAAATGAATTTGTGTAGTTACATAAGAAATCTTTAATAGAGAGTGCATTTTAAAAGCTCTTTTATATAATGAATATTTGTTTTGTTACAAGTTGGTAATTAACTATTTTTTATCAGACAAAATGAAAGTGATGTTCCTGATAGAAGTAACTACGGGTCGTGTTCTAAATATCCCAATTTTTTCCCTATCCACTACCGGTTACGCTGCCTCTACTGAAAAATACTTGATATAAAAGAAACAAAGAAAAAGAAAAATAGAGAGGGATTATTGTGAATGGAATAATTATATATATACGTATATAATTTCGTAGGTCTTTAATGCACTCTCAATATTCTTACTGTATTTATAAACCGTTTAAAGTAGCATATGTATATATCTATCTATCAATTGATTTCTTTTGGTGTCAAAAGTAAGCTTTTGTACTCGGAATATTCAGTTTACAGCTTTTATACAGAGCATTCTTAATCAAAACCGAGGGTTAAATAGTATCATATGTCCTTTGTACTGGTGTTTCTGTGGCTATTTATATAGTGTTTGAAATCAGGCCAACATTAAAGTAATTACACTCGAAAAGGATGTCGTTGAAAAATAAAGGCTTCTTTGGGTAATATCTTGAGGAGGTAAGACAAGTTAGTTTGAAGGATATTCATATATTTTCTACAAGAAAAAATTACAAGTCAATATAAGGTGTAGATCTGAGGGTTTAATAACAGTCTAAAAATGTGCTAAATGAGCAGCAAACATTGACCAAAAGTGTAAACAAGGTAAACGCACTCTTTTATTTTTATTTTTATTTATAAAAATAAATATTGGTCTCTAGCTAAATCTCTCCCCCCAATTTTCTAGGACAGGTTTGTATAATCAAATAACTTCTAAAGTTGCACTTTCTTGTTGAGTTTGGATAAGGTCATTTTTAACTAATCCAAATAACTAAAATTTTGATTTCTTTTCCATTTGGTGTTAATATTTGTGAGTATCATTCAGAGTGAATTTACTACATTCAATTTCATTTTTCTTTTTATTTAAACCAAGAGCTTGGTTAGCTTTGATAAATTATAGTGATATATACCTACATAATTTCTAGTACACTTTTGATTCACTATCGGCTTTGAGGCATGTACATTGTATTGAGCCCCTCTTTGTTTTACGCGGTAAATTTTGCTAATTTTTTTTTAAAAAAAACCGTGATATTGGCATAGCTTTATTAGGCTTTTGAACAAAGAATGTAACGATCGACCCAGAAATTGGATTGAAAAACAATTCTGTAATATATATATATATGTATGTGTGTGTGTGTGTGGAGGGGGAGGTAAGAGGGGGTAATCCACAAATATCAAGCGTATGATTTGATTTGAGTTGATTTGATTTGATAGACTCACCTGTATATACAAAGTTGGTCTTGTAATCTTTTTTTTATCAAATATATTCCCTTGGGTGTATGCCATTCATTGTCCTCTATACTGGAAGCAATATTCCCAAATTATTAGTAATATTATTATTGTTATTATTGTTACTCTTACTATTACTATTACTGTTACTATTGCTATTGCTATTATTACTACTATTATTATTATTATTGTTGTTCTTATTTTTGCTATTTATTTTTACTATTAGTTTTCGACAATGGGATTGGGTAGGATTGCAAACCCCACTGCAACTTCAAATTTATTACGATGGTCTTTTTCGATGTTTGTTATTCTCTTTTGACACATAAATACAGCACAATCAAAATGTCTCACCGTATTACTATTATCTCCTTTTATACATTAACTCACATCCCTCTTCTGACGCAAATTATTATATACGCATCTTGTTATACAGATCAATCTCAGAATTATGCCAAATATTGCTTATGCTACCTGTATTGCTGCACCATACGGCAAAGGACATACAGTCAGTCTAGCTCGTCTAGCTCATCTTCAATCAGAATTCACAAACCAACATACCCAGCTAGAAGTTATCCACTTCCAGCCCTCTAAGCTAAGTCTCTCAAAATCAAAACCCCAGGCCATTCAGGCTACCTTGGCTGGATCAATTTCTCCAACCATGAAAGCAAGAGGGGCTTTCTTGAGACAGAACCCCATCCAAGTAAGGCCAATAGATTAAATATTCAAAAAAAATTATAATTTATACTCTATTTCTCTCGTATTTCTATATCTCCCATTTCTTCTTCTTTATATATATATATATAATACTATGTCTTCATTTCACCAACCTTTACTAGGTCAAACTTTCTGTAAAATCTTTCAGCTCTTCTATCCTACGAAACCATGCTTCATTGACAGAACTCTTGGTCGGTCTACAAAAGATATCAGACGAAAATAAGCCGACCAAAGTGGTTTGCACTGGAACGGAAATTACCATTTTCGGAACAATTGATTCTGCCGAAGCTATCCGTGTTAAGGTTCTTGTATTTCTGGATGTCATGGTAAGACTTTTTGTAATACATGTATTTACAATAAATTAAAATAGACACACAATAACGATTATAATAATTATAATAGTCTCGATTGATATCCGATACATTGGAGATCCCCCACCACTTGCATAACCTTATGGCTGGGCGGAAGCACAGTCATCTTCAGCCCATAATGGAAGAAACAGCAACCAATATATATCTCCAGTCACCTTTTACATCCCAAATCCATTCGAACACATCATCTCACCTATCTGATACGTCAGGGCTGATAAATATCACAGGAGAGTCAACTGTCAGCATCCAAAGAGCCAAGGAACTTTTAACAAGATTAGCTGCTCAAAAGGTACAGAATAATGTATAGAGTACAGTTGTTACTTTAAACCTATATTACACACACACGCATATATCATTGGTGCTTAAAATCATCTAAAAATAAGAAGAAAAATGGAAACATCTCAAATTATATCCCTTTTCTATAGGTAAAATCCTTGTTTAAAAAGGAATCCACCATGTCTTCATCAAAAATTGATTGGATTCTGCTCCGTCAAAGAGAAGAAATTCGGAACATTATGCGTGACAATGGTATTAATTCGAATACAAGTATGTTTGCACAAACTGACGTAATTTATTTCATAGGATCATTTATCCGATTTCCACTACTTGGCTCGGGTGATAATAAGATCGTTGTTTATGCTGAGAACAGAGTCAATGTGGAGCGCACATACAGACTACTTAATTATCTGGTAAGATTTAATAAGTTAAAATTATTTGTTTTTTATTTTTTTTATTTAGCTAGATGCTAATATAATTACATTAGATTTTTAGTATCTACAGAGCCGTATTCAGTTTCAGCCCAGAAGAAGAAAGTGAATCGGTTATCAGGTCCCCAGATACCATTATGAAACAAGTATTTGGATCGTATGAAAAGATGCTCCAGACAGTGGGTTGTCTTGCAGAAACATCTAGCTCAGAAGTAATCTACAATCTAGAAGATTGTCAGTTTGAAATACTCGGTACAGAACGTGAAGTAAGAAATGCTTACCAGTTTCTTTGTGGGATTCCAACTTTCAAGGTAAAAATAAACATAAATATGAATATAAAGTAATAAGCATCTAATTAACACGCCAAATTATTAGAGACATCACAAGCACACCATATTTTCATTAGAACTTGCCTCGGATCATCAGGACTTTATAAGTGGAAAGAAAAACGGAAAAATTAATAAAATCATGAAGTCCTGTGCAGTTCAGGTCAAGTTTCATACAGTAGGTCAATACACTTTTATGGTGTCAATCGACAGCAACAGTCCAAATAAGGCTATAGATGGTCTCTCAATGCTACAAGAAGAGCTTCCTGCAGAAATATCTTTCTATGTTCCTGAAATGTATCATCGTCGTATTATCGGAGTAGGAGGAAAGAACATACAGCGTATGATGAAGACTTATGGTGTCTATGTAAAATTCTCTGGATCCGAAGAATTCAGTTCGCTAGGAGGATACTTTGAGAATGAGGATAACGTGGTTGCAAGAACACCAATGAAGAACGCTCCAAACCTCGAAAACCTCAGGCGTGCAGTGATGGAGTATGTTGGGCTCGAAAAAGACAGAGATTTCATACCTCAACGGTTACTTTTACCTATTTATCTTCACCGTACAATACTCCACAAGTATGGAAAGACTCTGAGAGATGCAGCCAGACCTAGTAATACCAAGATATGGTGGCCCGAAAGGCAGGGTTCAGGTGAGGTGACGGTATTTGGGCCAGTTACCGAAACCAACGAGATTTTACGTATGCTGAAGCGACACATACCCGAAGAAAAGACATCTTTGGGTCCTGTGAAAATGGTAAAAGAAGAACCAGAAATTGATGCTACAATTGATTTCAAAAATGGATTACAAAAGACGCAATCTGTTCCAAAGGCTGGTCTCTTTGAATATTCCCGCCTCTATCGCCCGACATTAGACTTGCCTCGTAATGAGCCCGTTACCAACCAGCCTCTAGAGTCCCCGTTGTCGGAAAGCCCGCTTTATGCCCTTTACAAAGGCGATATAAGATCCATATTCCCAAGTCCTGATATATCCCAAAGTTTGTCAAAGGTTATGTCTACCATGCCGCCTACACTCGGAACACGTCCCTTGGCTACTTTATCCGCACCAATTCCCTCGGGAAACAATATTTGGATACCTCCAAAGGCAGACTATTGTAGTGTAAGCTTATATTTGTTTGTTTATTCTCTTGTTTAATTGTGCTCATCTTCTAATGGACTTTATTGTGTGTGTGTGCGTGTGTGTGCATATAGATGTTTGGAATAAGTACCGAGTCACTACATGGTCCCTCTTATCATGATAGTATGTCAGAATACATTCAAGAAGAGAGATTTCCCATATTTAGTCCACTAGAGGATATCCAGAAGAACACAACCATGTTCAACGAACAACGGCCAATGTCGAACTCGTTTATTGTTAGACCCAGGCAACACAGTGTAGCAGATGATGCTTCTCTTGGCTGGGGGCCCTTCAATTATCAACATTCCTGGCCAAACATTGACTTTTCGAGAGAGTGTTTTGATGGAATGGTATCCTACCGCCAACCTCCAACCACTCAAGATGCTTTTGAGATGGCACCAAATATTCCTCGGAGAGCTTCCTTATCTACTCGTACCCCTTCTATCTAAATAACTCCTTTGACTGTCGAATAGTTTATTCACAATAGGCATTATGAAAAAAGAAATTAAAATGCCTAATTTTTTTTGTTACTATAATTGAATATATAATTTCTAGCTATTGCTATCAAGACTCATTTACCTTCAAGCTCATTTTATCTTGTATTAGAAGTATCCCATTTATCTTCTATTATTATTATTATTACACATACACAAATTACTACAAATTACTGCTATATCCAAACCCTATATTTCCCCCCAAAAAATGAATAAATGAATTAAAGCATGTCTTTAAACGCAGCAAGAGTACAATTCTTGTCGTTTACCATATAAATGGTTTATATCCAAGTATTTGATTGCACATGCTATCCCGAACAAAGAGAAGAAAAAAAAAGAGGTAAACATATTTTCCTCTTATCATTCTCGTTTATTCCCGTAAAGTATCGTTTGTCAGCCTTTAGAAAAACACATGCTTCACCATAAGAGATTCTGACGCGGGTGAACAGGGGTACTTCTTGTGTGAGCATCGGGAGTAAATCATCCACATATACCATTTATTTGACATAGTTTAAAGGGCGAGGTTTTCCCTGTTTTTTTTCTTCTTTTTCTTTCATTTGAATTACGTCTCTGGTGTAACCTTTTCACAAAAGACTTGTGTAGCAATATGCCTTCCCATCGAACCACAAACTTTACCTAAAACATTTATACATTTATACATCTATATATCTATATATCTATATATCTATACAAAAAATATACATTAAAGTATAAGTAACATATGTAGCTACATTTAATTCTTAGAGAAAATTATTGGCCATACTCTAAGCAAAATCGTAATAATTATAATGCAGATTTTGTTGCGATTATTCTTCGCTCAAGCATAAATCGTAATTAGTTTGACTTCAATTGTAAACCACCGCCTACATATTGGTTATTTATTTTTGCTTTATTGTTTTTCTTTTTTTTAGAAATAAATAAATAAGGAACATAGATTACAATTGAATCTAACGGATTATTAAACAAAACAAATAATTAAATTGTATACATGTCTTTGTAAAATATCCATTCCCTTCAAACTTGACTCTTCTTTAATCATGGTCCCCTCCCTTCATAAAGGAACAAGTCACTGTGACTGCGTTTTACTTCCCTTCTATCCTTGTTTTCATTTTGTGGTGCCGCACAGCGTTCCTATACACACACACACCTCACGATGATTGGATTGAAAGGCACTTTGAACGTAATCGACAACTCTGGGGCCATTGTTGCAGAGTGCATTCGTGTCTTGAGTGGTGCCCGCTTCGCTAGAGCTGGTAATTAACAGCATTATTTACTAGAACATCATATATAAATACAACCATTATCAAATATAAAATATGCACTTTTTTTGTTATTTATTCCTCAGTATCCATTACTCCATTTATACTACTATTACTATCATTAAAAAAAATCGTTTATTCATTCGTGCGCACGTGCGTTTTTTATTTTTTTTCTTGTGTAGGCGATGAAATCGTCTGTGTTGTCAAGCGTGCTAGACCTATCAACCCCAATTTGATCGGTACTCAAGCTGCCACTCAAAAGGTCAAGAAGGGTGATGTCCGCCATGCTCTGGTTGTCCGTACAAAGAAGGAAATGGGCCGCCCAGATGGTCGTTATATCCGTTTCGATGACAATGCATGCATTCTTTTGAACCAAAAGAAGGAGCCTCTCGGCACCCGTATCTTGGGTGTTGTTGCCGCAGAATTAAGAATGAAGAACTGGATGAAGGCTGTCTCTCTTGCTCCTCGTGTTGTATAAGAAAATGGAAATGAGCTGAGATTTATTGATATGGGCTTGTTAAGAAGGAAAATATCTTTCTTATTGTTTTATAGAATTCATTAAAAAAAATTATATACGAGCTTGGTTGGAACAATTGACAAAAAGAGGGAGAGAAGATATATGTGTGTATAATATATTGTATGGTTCTTGGAGCTTATGAGACGGTTTCTACTCTTTGATTATTTGCTTTGTCTTTGTTCTTTTTTTTGTAGAGGATGGGATACAAAGTGTTTGTGGGCGATATTCACAAAAGTACTTAACTCCTTGGCTTACTGACATACTGGTGGGATAAGAAACTAATGATGTTGTTATCGTAAACTACAGCCAATATTGCTCCCTGTTTACGACTGGGAGAGAAAGCGGCATGAATAGGACGAGCGCCAGTCATTGGAATGGCTCCCAATTGTCCTACAGCGTTAGAATTGACAGCAGCTCCACGAACAAGACCACTAATATCAAATACGTACAAGTTTATATATATATATAATATGATTAGCTTAATATTAATCCGCAAAAGCAAAGTCGGCTATAGTTAATTCTCTTACATGGGAGTAACAGCCGTTCCGGTCTTTCCTGTCAATGAGTTCACACTCGATACACTGTAAAGTCCCACTACATCGCTATCTTCATAAATAACTGCCAGTCGTTCAGCATTATTAGGGTCCAAAGTGATTTCACGAATGATGCCTATTGGCACCACACGTTCGCCAACATGTACTGTAGTCTGATAACCATCAACCTTTGAAATATCCCAAACAACTAATATAATTATTTTCTCGTTAGTCTATCTGCAATAAAACCAGAAACTATGGATGAAAGCAATAAAAATTACCATCTTTATCAGAGGTGCGTCGACTTAAAATGTGAAGATCTCTTTTACCGCGCATAGAGTATAATATACTCTTGCTGTCTGGGCTCCAGCATGCACTCTATTATATTTAATGAGTATTTTTATTTCTTTCTTTCTCTTTCTTTATGCTCCGTCGTTTATCCTTCTGTACATCTGAATATCTTTCTTTCTTGTTTTTTTTTCATCGCTATAATAACATGCAAGTAAAGTGTATTACCTTTACCCACAACCCAGGAGGGTTGGAAAATTTGGTGCATGTCCATGTCTTGGTATTCCATAGACGCGAAGCACCTGCCCTACAATCCCCGACGATATACCATCGTCAATTATCCTTTGCTTTTGTACACTCTTAAATAGTAAACCTACATGCTTGCTGAGTAAAGCCAGTTGCCGTCAGGACTCCAGCGCAACAAAACATTTCCTTTTCCATATCGCTTCAAAGGTGTGGCTAGATGTGTGACAATATCGTAGGCAACCAAAGTACTAGTGCTGGTTGAAGCTGCCACAAATACATTGCTGCTCAACGAAGGATCCCATGCAATAGAACTGATATGATCTTGACCGGGGGTACGGAAGTAGCTCATCCAGGCAGTAGGGTGCAGACCCACATTTACTGTTTCGTGATGGGAGTTTGTAGAAACAGATGCTGCGCCTTTAACACGCTTGGCATACAAATCCCACACACACACACCATGTCTGACGTTCCAAACCACAAAATGAGTTTAAGTTTTCCTGTGTGCAAATCTAGCTTTTACATATTCACTTTGCCCGCTTCTCACCTGCATCCAACAGCAAGTATTCCACCTGCTTTAGGTTTCCACTCTAAACAAGTAATGTTATTCATAAACTTGTGCTTCAATAAAGTGCATGTCCAATTGGGCGATTCGGGGTCTTTTTCGTAAATATAGACTGTGTTGTCTTTGTGAGCCAATGCAAGACGATCGACGTATGGGTGCCATGCAATTGCTAAGATATCTTCAGAACGAGTGTGGAACATGTTATGCTCTGTATGAGGGCCAGTAGGAATAGGCAAGTTCATGCCAGACAGACTGTAGATTTTTTCGGCGATCTTGTAAAGTGTTCTAAGTGCATAAGAAAGTTGTTTTTATGATAATGAAGTTTATGAATTAGTTGAGTTGTAATTTAATTTGTTTCCTCGTAGTTTAGGAAATGTAATGACTTTAGAGTCATTCAATGTACATGTCTATCTCTGTCGTTGATGCTCCACCTACGTCTTTTTAATAATAGGACCACTGTAGATATTCAATGTGTGAATGAATGCATGCCAATAAAGAAAAAAATCAAGTACAAAGGAACTTACTAAAGAGTCCACTTGTGCTCTAATTCTTCCATGAATTTACTATAAATTGTTGCCAGGAATTCTTCATATTCATCATGAAGTTTCGACAATGCACTTTCTTCGACATCCAAAGGTTCAAACTGAATAGAAGGATAAAGCGGAATCTACACAATGCGGCGTAAGACGATTGAACGAAACCAAAAAAAAAGCAATAGTAGTAGTATAATAAAATTACTCTTTGCGCATTAAGTTCCATGATTGCATTATCGTTTTCTTGATGAACATTTGCTGCAAGTTTATACAATTGTATGTGGATGTGTGTATAGAGAGAATCTATGAGCATTTTTGTACAATGTTTGCTATCAAGTATAAAATTCATCTTTACCAAGCTGACAATTGACCTCAGCTATAGTGCCTTGGTTAGTAGGCGGCATTATTAAAAAATTGGTCATGATGCCAATTTGTTAGTCTTCTTTGCATAACAACGCGTTTTTATGGAGTGTTTTATAGAACGGAGGATTTGTTTTGAACCGACAGTCACGTCAACGTGTCACGTCCAATGTAGGTAAGGCATTTATCATAGGCAGGTTTGCTTATTTAACATGCCAATTACTGCTCATCGAATCGATGAGGTTAGTAATAAAAATTCCTTTCTTTCTTTCTTTTTGCTGTTATTATTGCTTTGATATATTCGTTAAAGTGAAAGAATTTTATTAATTCAAATATTGCATAGTAGAACGGAATCTTACAGTTCACTATTGTAACTCCTGAATATGGCATAAGCGAAGAGCTGCCAGCGCAGCAAGTGTGTTACATGAGTCCAGATCAAGTAGAGATATATCAACATTTTAACTCGATTGAGACCCTTAATGGAAAACGACCATTGAACAAGAATATTACTTTCATGAACCATAAGCTAGAGTTGATGATTCGTGACTACCTCGACGTTGGTCACTGTACGTTGTATTGAAGTGTCAAACAAAAAAAAACAAATTTCAATAACACACACACATATATATACATATACACATATACACAAAGACAGTGCGGCGTTAGATTTGGTTGATACTGTTCTTACCTCCCAAAGATGTCCTTTACCGTAAGAGAAAAAGGAATATTTGTCTTAAAAAAAAAGACATACACGTATATTACACGTTAAATTAATGATATCTTTTATATGTATATCTTGTTTTTTTTTGGTTTTTTTTTGGTTTTGTTAATAATGCAGTTCAATTCTTCTGGCAATGGTCCATTGTATTACACGTCCTGTTTTACAGCATGATACCGATGAATTTTTCTTAATGAGCCAACGATGCTATAGATTGTTAAAACATGTGCTTTCAGTGTATGGATCAAGTGTATTTGAGCCGATTTGGAATACATTTCGCAGCTTTCACATAGTTGGAGGAGAAAGATATTCTTTGTCAACTCGAAGTATGGTTCAGAAAGAACCAGGATACATAAGGAAAGGTATCGGTAAAGAGGATGGAGAAGAAGGAGAAGAAGGAGAAGAAGAGAAAATCGATGAGATATTACTGGGAATGCATGAATACGATGATTTTTGGGATCTGGTCTCCAAATGTATAAAGCGAAAGAGTGATATGCCAAATACAAAAAGAATGGTATTGAAAATAATGATTCTTTTTTATTTGGAATTTATGCTAATAATTATAGTTTTTTTCTATAAAGAGTATGCGTCTAATATTGGATATTCTTGTCGCCCTACTGGAACATGATATTTACGAAAAACAAGGTAAACACCCATACATATACGCACAATAAAGAAATCCTAAACTAAAGAAATTTATAGATAATAATGAATTGGGCAAATGCATATTTCTGATGATGCTCAGAAGGGATGGAATGGGAATCCGCACCCAACTTGATACCTATCTGGATACGCTGTTTTCTCTGTTTGAAGATTCAGAGGATGGTGTAGACAATAATGTTGATACTTATAGCTTAGATATTGTGAGCCGTATCATGAACATGGTTTGTAATCAAACAAAGTATGATATATTATAACTATAACAACTAAACATTATGTGCTTTATAAAGTTGATTTATTTAGCAATTGTTGACAAGTATGTTTCTTTTCCAAACCTGTCAGATCAAACCTATAGACACCTTCGTGGCCTGTCTACCGACCAAGCCAATGCAATATTGGTGGTAAGAGTTAATGGTGTACTGTTCTATAGACTCATTGTGTACAAAGAAAATAGCCTATCCGATATTTGCTCTATCTATCTCTTCTATATTTCTCCAAGATGCCGATACGAGTCTTGTACTTCCAGAACATCAAAGCTATAGCAAGAATGTGAAACCATCTGATGGAGTGGACAAGTTCTTTTCTTTTGTTCTCAAGACACGTCCGCCGGAAGTAAATAATATTGAGGATATATATCGACATGTTTCCATTGTTTCTTGGTATTGGACAAGCTATATGAACAGCCTGTCAGTATGCTACGAAAACAAGCCTGGTCATTTGGATTCTCTGTCTGGATTATCGGAAGATCAAACGACGGTAGTATTCACATCTAGTGAAGAAGCCATAAAGAACTGGCGCAAGAGTATTCAGAAGATGATTAAAGGTGTTGGGCGCTCTAATGCAGAAATGAAGAAAAAGGTTGAACAGACCATGAAGCTTATTGAATTGAATTTACAGATTATCTAAATGTTTACAAAATATACATATTTGTACATTTATGTGTTAATGTTGGTGTACACTTGCACAAAATGTTAAGTTAAATCGCAATAAATGTAGGTTTTTATAAGATATTTAGATATTCTTTTTTGGTTTGTGAACAGCCACACATTTCCAGAAAAATTTAGATACAAAATGTATCTATGTAATCGTGTGAAATATGAATTTCTGCACAGACCTAATGTTCTCGGCCATGATCTTGAACAAGAACAATGCAAACCTTAATACTTAACCCAAAGAATACCGAGAATTTGGCAAGACTTTCACTAAATGGTAATCTTGCTCATGGTTCCTCAAATATCTTGGTGAAAAATAAATAAATAAATAGTATCATTTCTACGTGCTCACATACACACGCGCGCGCGTGCACATCAATAGAATAGAAACGAAAAGAAGGGGTTCTTTGTTGTGTAGATGGTTTCAATACAGTCATTTTTTAAAGAAAAAAAAAGAAAAAAAATGTAAAGATTAAATCGATACCTTTGCATTGATCAATTGATTAGTCAATTGATCATTCATTCATATATTCCTTCATTCATTCGATTATATATATTATTATTATTATTATATTATAGTGCTTTGGTCGGGAGTTTTATTTTATCAGTTTATCTGCTCAGCCTTGTTGCTACGAGATGGTTGAGACACGTCTTTAATGTACTCCGATTAACGTGTACGATAAGAGCATTTCATATGCTTTGGTTCCCATGAGTAACCAGAAACCAGGGACCAAATGATACACACCAAAAAGACGTGTATTTTTTATTTTATTTTTCAACAAGGCACCCAGACCAAGTAGACAAAGTGAATCCGGCAAGGGTACCCACCTTTTGTACCACCCCGTCAAAAACGTTTCTTGTAGTAAAATGAAGACAGAAGTGTGACGTAGTCTCTAGGGTGAGAATAAGCACGGACTGTGAGAAAAATAGAAAGAAAGAAAGAATACCAAGCAAGCGAAAAAGAATGAAAGAAAGAAAAGCTGGCTAGTATTGATTACAAGGTTTTATGTTTAAAGATAGAATCTGCCGATGACTCTAAACAGACTATACATATTTGAAATCATCTAATAGGTTTATCCCTTTAGATCTATTGGGAAATTCAACACTTTATCAAAGCAGCCATTTTCTTTTTTAATTTTTTTTTTGAATCATTATAATTGACATAAAGACGGTCACGAATGATCTTATCAATTTCCCAACAATAGTTTTATTTTTGTCCCTGCAAAGGATTTTTTGGTATCAGAAGAAAAATCAAAATTAAATTAATAAGGTCTTTAAAGGAAAATGTTCATATTCAGCTGTCTTATATCTATAGTGTATATACATTTGTATATTGTATTGAGCTTCGGGCTATCAAGCATGAGGAAATCAAATGTCAATTTTTACAAAGCTGTAAATTTAAAGAAGCTTAATTTCTTTTTTTTTTCTTTGATTGGGTCACATATCGATATATAGAATATGATGACGCCAATGATGATGAGAAATATAATGAGGGGGGTGGTAAGGGTATTAGGTCTTATTCAACCCCATCCCCACCCCCATCTGTATAGAAGAGAAGTAGCTCAGTTGTAAAATATATATATATAAAATATATATAAAAAAATTATATAAAAAATTATATATCAAGTAATTGGACCCGGGTACCTTGGATTACAGAAACAGAATCCAAAATGAAGACCAGCAAAAGATCGTGTCGAATGGTCCCCATCATTAGACTAGCGCCCGCGTCTGAAAGTTATAAAAACCCATCAACCATCATCCTGATCTTCGTTTCTCACTTTATCTTATTCACATCATGGTTGTCAACGTTGGTATTAACGGGTAAGTTAACAACCCCTAAGCTCCAACAAATAAAGCATAAAAACGCGTCATGTACTCAAACGCGTCAAAATCATCAATAGCTTCGGCCGCATTGGTCGCATTGTCCTCCGCGCTTCCCTCGAGAACCCCAACGTCCAGGTTGTTGCCATCAACGACCCCTTCATTGATCTTGAATACATGGTCTACATGTTCAAGTACGACTCCACCCACGGTCGTTTCAAGGGTACCGTCTCCACTGAGGACGGTAAGCTCATCGTCAACGGCAAGGCCATCTCTGTCTACGCCGAGCGCGATCCCGCTCAGATCCCCTGGGCCAAGGATGAGGCTTACTACGTTGTTGAGTCCACCGGTGTCTTCACCACCATCGAGAAGGGCAAGCTCCACTTGGTCGGTGGTGCCAAGAAGGTCATCATCTCTGCTCCCTCTGCTGACGCCCCTATGTTCGTCTGCGGCGTAAACCTCGATGCCTACAAGTCCGAGTATGAGGTCATCTCCAACGCCTCCTGCACCACCAACTGCTTGGCTCCCCTTGCCAAGGTCATCAACGACAAGTTCGGTATTGTTGAGGGTTTGATGACCACTGTCCACGCCACCACTGCCACCCAGAAGACCGTCGACGGTCCCTCTGGCAAGGACTGGCGTGCCGGTCGCGGTGCTGGTGCCAACATCATCCCCGCCTCCACTGGTGCTGCCAAGGGTAAGCTTACCATATATATTTCTAGTGGTTTGTAAACTAATTGATTCTGTATAGCTGTCGGTAAGGTCATCCCCGAGCTCAACGGCAAGTTGACTGGTATGTCTTTCCGTGTCCCCAACCCCGATGTCTCCGTTGTTGACTTGACCGTCCGCCTCGAGAAGGGTGCCTCCTACGAGGAGATCAAGTTGGCCATCAAGGAGGCCTCCGAGAACGAGCTCAAGGGTATCCTCGGCTACACCGATGATGAGGTTGTCTCCACCGATTTCCTCGGTGATGACCGCTCTTCCATCTTCGATGCCAAGGCTGGTATCTCCCTCAACCCCAACTTTGTCAAGGTAAATATATTGGAAATATTGGAAATATTTGGGATCATTCAATGCACAAAAAAAAAACAAAAATACTAAAAACCTTTATTATAGTTGGTCTCCTGGTACGATAACGAGTACGGTTACTCTTGCCGTGTTGTTGACTTGATCGTCCACGCCGCCAAGGTCGATGGTGCCCTCTAAATCCAGAATTCCCTTGCTTCCTATTGCTAAAAAAATTCACATGCATATCCTGCTGCTGTTATTGTTATTGTAAATAAAAAAAAATACCGTTCTTTGAACCCTACTCATGGATAGCGGAGTTGTGTAATGTTTCCCACAAAGGTGGACTAAGGATGTGGGGAAAAAAATATAATCATCATCATAGGCGTTAAGAATTGCCCCGCACTTCTATTTTGGTTGTCTCCGCTTCCGTAGTCGCCGACCTACCACTTCATCCACCACTTCACGTGAAGGCATCAACCTGTCTTCCCGGCTCTTTCCTTTCAAATACCAAGCAAAATTTGGTCAAGTAAAAAATAATTATAATAGGAGGGGAAGGGAAAAGAAATATAAAGGGAAATACGGCAACATAAGACATTAAGGGCTCAAATAAAGCAAAGCAAGGCAAGGCAAGGCAAGGCAAGGCAAGACAATAAAGAAAGTAAAAAAAAATAGCCTTTATTGATTGATTGGTTTAATGAAGTTGGGTGAGATTCATATGTAATATGCATACATGATTATTAAAAGTATGTCTTTATGTTTGTATGAATGTGTGTATGTACTTATGTATATTTATTTATGCATTTATTATTTTTACATGTGTCTCATCTCTTGACACTGAATATCTGGCGGTCTTACACCATCATTCTCAACCTCTAAAACTCCATCGTCTGTAGCAAGGATCTGATCAGCCAGATCTAACTGACAGTGGTCGAGGTAAATTGGAGTCTTTCCATCGACCACTTTACTATCAATCACAACCTGTTGAATTGACGACCCAGGAACATCAAACATGGGTTCCAGCAAAAGCGTTTCCTATTCGATCCGTAAAACAGAGTCAGCCTTGTTTGTTTTCCATTAAATATGTTATGTATACACATGGGTTATATATCACCGGGGAGAAAAAAAATATATATACAATATATTTCTGTTCCATTACCATGATTCTCCGTAACCCGCGTGCACCCGTCTTCTTCTCTAACGCCAGTTCTGCCACACCCCGCAATGCCTTGTTACTAAACTTTAGATCAACCTTGGATAATATATTAGTCATAGTGCTAATAAAACAATTATAATTTTTTTTTAAAAAAAAAAAGAAAAAATATTTACTTTGTTCAATTGGAAAAGGCCTTTGTATTGATTCAAGAGTGAATTCTTGGGCTCCTTTAGCACCCTAACCAGATCATCGACACTCAAATCATTTACGGAAGCCAGCACAGGAAGTCTGCCAATAAACTCTGGGATCAGCCCATATGAAACCAAATCTACAAGCAGTCGATTTAGTTATTTGTTGGGACTTGAACACAAGTAACAGGCTTTGATCAATTCAATCTTTTGTTTATTTTTTACCTGATGGTTCTACTCGAGAAAGTGGATGTGAGGTCTTGTTGGTTTCCTTATCAGAAACCTTTAATAAAGCATCGAATCCAATAGACTGCAGAAGTTGGATGAAATTAGTCTCTCGACAAAAAAGAAACGGTATTTCCAGATAGCCCCTCATTTATTGACTTACTCCCTTTGCAACTCGATCCATAACCGTCTTTTCCAATCCAACAAAAGCACCACTCAAGATAAACAATATGTTGCTGGTGTCAATCGAGTATACTTCTCCCTTTCCATTAGGTGGTCCCATACTAGGTCCTTTCTTGCTGGCCCCAGTCTTATCAGTAACTTGGATAGTCGTTCCCTCTAACATACGCAGTAGTGACTACAATAATAATCAATAATCAATAATCAATCACCTCTCCTTCTCTCTTAAAATATGTATGCATATATATATATTTACCTGTTGTACTCCCTCTCCAGAAACATCTCGAGATGACATGGTATCTGATCTCCTGGCAATCTTGTCAATCTCATCAATAAATACTATGCCACCCTCTGCCTTCTTGACATCAAAGTCACATGACTGGAGAAGACGTTGGATGACCAATTCAACATCCTCTCCCACATAACCAGCCTGTGTAAAAGGTGTTGCATCGGACATAGAAAATGGCACTTGAAGAATCTGAGCCAATGTACGCGCAAGCAGTGTCTTTCCTAGATTTTCAAGGGAAATTATTGTTATTAATGTTAATGTTATTATTATCTGGTTTATTAAATAGAGTTTCTCTCTAGGGTTATGTACGAATATATCTATAGCTCACCTGATCCAGTGGGCCCAATTAAAAGAACATTACTCTTGTCATATACAATCGACTGTTCCTCTTTAACTTTCTCATGAGCTTTGGGTTGAGGCAAAGATACAGATTGTGTTGGAGGGTTTAACCACACTTGCTGTTGTGACCCTACTGATGATATTTTATATATTTTTTTTTCTTATTTATCAGTAACCCAATACTTCTTGTTTCTTGTCTATAATACTTTCTCACACTCACATGTTCCTTCTGTGTATATTTGTCCCTGAATACGCTCTGTTCCGGCACCTCGACCAAAACGGAACTCAGGGGAGATGGGAGGTCGGGAAGGCAAAGAAGGTCCTTCTTCTACATCTTCTTCTACAACAGTCTCTTTTGCTTTTGAATTGGCATGAACCCGGTTATAATGATTAAACACGGCCACGGCTAGAATCTTTTTGGCCCTTTCTTGCCCAATTACATAGTCATCCAAGTGTTTCACAATCTATTATTATTATTATTATTATTATTATTATCAATATCATTAATTGTATACACACATATTCAGAGGAGGAGGAGAAATGTTTTGTTTTCTAAAATAAAATAAAATAAAAGAAAGACATATTCTAATTGTTGAATGAGCTTACTGTGCGTGGGTTGACCATCTTGCCATCCACAGAAAGCAATGGTACAAGAGGAGCGTCTGGGGGTAAGTGTGGGACTGCGGTGTGTGTTCCTTTACTGTAATTTGTACTGTGATATAGTCTACGCCCTGTAAGTTGTAAGCTGGGCGGACCTCTTGATTGGTTCAGGATGGTCTTGAGATGAGATGAAGTCATCCTACTTGAGATTGTAGGAAGATAAGTCAAGGCTCTTTTGAAATTGCCGAATAAAATGACGGAGCTAGTATTCATAGTGGGAAAGTAAAGTTAGAAGAAGAAGAAGAGAAAGAGGAATAAGAAGGAGGAGGAGTAGAAGAGGAAGAAGAAGAAGAAGATATAAGCGTGCGAAACTTGCAGTAACGTAAAAGAGAAGAAGAAAAATAAAGGGCACAAAGGGGTGGTTCCTGTAATAAGAGGAGGTGACTGTCCCCATACACACACACACACACACACACACACATCTTCTGATCATGCAAAATGAAGAAAATAGCGTAGAGTGGTGAAGCCAGCTCACCGAGATTTTAATCTCCGGAAGATTTGTAATTTTGGTAATAAATCCCACAGTTATACAGGCCATTGAAATATATTTCACGTAAGGTTTTGTAGGGTGCATTAACTTTTTCTTATTCTTATTATTTTGTTGCCTCTTAGGATTACTACACTGCTCTGTCTTCCTTTTCTATGGTAGTATAAGGTTATAACTACGGTGACTAGCTTATATACATACAGTAACTTATTGTTTTTGGGAGATGATGGGGAGGTTGAAATTGGCTATCAGATCGTCTTACCAGCGATCACAGCATAATATGTTGCACATTTCCTTTTATAATTACGAAACATTTGTATTCAACGTTTTCCTCTTCTTCTTCTTATTTCTTCAGGATTGTGGTTTTTTGGTCTTATGAAGTATACAAGAGATAAATCCTCCTTGAATAGCCGTAATGACTCTAGAGCTGATATTATTCTACAAGTATTACCTATATATCTGTGCATTTATAATTAAGAAAGACCTGTTTAATCAATATATATTTCAAAGATAAGATATAGATTGTATCTCTATTATTGCTGTTGTCGGGCAAACTACACTGTATATGACCAGTACACACATTCTGCAGTATAAATTATCTTTCAAAAAGAAAACTCAGTGGCAATTCCCGAACGCTTTAAAATAGCTGTATTTATAGATAATATGAAAAAGAAAGAAAGAATAAAAGGAACAAGGTCTTTCTCCATATCTCCCCTAAAGAAGTTAGAGCAAAGGCCAGGTCATTATTTTTTCTGTTTTGAAGAGTGATATGTCGTACATACGTACGTACGTATGCACGTAACACTTATTACTAAACTCTGGATTATCAATGGTGCTGACTTATTTTCATTAGAAACATATTGGCCTGGGTGCTTTTCAATAAGCGTGGATACCACGAAATCATTATCTCAGGGCAGATTATCTAGCATGAACTTGGGTTTTCTATTTATTTTATTTTTCACAAGCTTGTATCCTAAATAGCACACTCACTATACTTGTAATTACTATTTTATATATTTTATATATATTATGCTTAAAATGTCTAATATATCTTTCCTAGCATATTCTGGGCATACTTTCTCTATGATGTATTGAGTAAATATCAAATGTCCATTGGTAAGACTGTAAATTACGCATAACAGTACCAGGAGCGATGACCAGAAGTAAAAGGTAAAAATAATAATATTAGAAACATTCCTAATACACCAGCATAAATACTACCACAGAATAATTGAGAAATTACAGTACGTCTGCATCCACTAACTCTTTCATAACAGCTGGTTTCAAGTACAAGGTTTCTTGAGTTCCTTAACAACATTTATTGGCCACTGTTGACCACCTTCAACTTGCTACAGACGTTTTTAACCTATATATTGCTCTATATTGCGATACCTCAATCTCAACAGGCCAGCGCCTTTTTTTTGTTCATTTCCATAAGAATTTAATTCAAAGAAAAGACATGTAGATTTCTTTTATTGTGTATTAATCATCAAGGCATGTCATTAATAATATCAAATATCCAATATTTTATTATGTATATTATTTTGCTACCTTTTTTTTCAACGTTAATATAATAATTATCTCCATATCAATCTTTCTTTTTTGAAACACTAACAAATATTAAAGTCTGATCCAACAGAGAGAGAGAGAGAGAGAGAGAGAAAAATAGATATATAAGAATGCTGAACTAACGCGTGATGCTGTGACGTCGTGTACCTCTCCAGCCTGTCCATAAAATCCTCCCCTTCTAGAAAGTATTTGTGAGTTGCAATGACCAATTGAGTTATTGAAATTTATGTTTTATATAATATTAAAGATGCCAAGTTTTATTTCAATTAACTATTTATGGAATAAATGAACTAAATTGAAGCATAAATGTTATATTTTTCTTTTTTTAAAAAAAAACATAATCACTCCCCATCATGAAGTACATTGACATGCTTAATTATTTGAAACAAAAGCCGATACTGAAACTCAAATTTAAAAGTGTGATTTGTTAATGGGCTGTCTTTCAATCTTTGACTTTTTTTTTTTTTTTGAGACAAAAAAAAATAGCTGTCCGAATTTTAAAAGTACGAAAATAAATAAATAAAATTGGGACACTCGGGAAAAGTGTAAAGGTTGTTCAACACGTATATTACTATTTCTACCAACACCTTCACCGCGTAAAAGAGTTTACTTTCGTAAAGGTTTCAGTGGGCGATTCTCCATTCCTGCACTAGAGGCGTCAGTTAGTCTACTTTGACGGTTAGCCTTTCCTGCTCGCTTGGCATATATGTCCTTTCTCTTTGGAAAAGCAGTTCTTACGTTAAGTATAATTTTCAATGGTATGGCGGAGGTTATCTACCGAAAATTCCATACTGCTCTGGAATTTGACACCTGTCAATTCCGAGAGGAAAATCTGGTGGGCTTCAGTGATACTATAAGATAAACTGGTAAGATATATTTAAAGGCATAGAGTTTCAACAAGCTTGATAATAATGAATGAAAAAAGGCGCTCCAGTTAGAAGCTGCGTTGGATTCATTGATGGTACATTCAATCGAATTGCCAGACCAAGAGAGAACCAGGAGGTTGTTTACAACGGTCATTACGTAAGTAAATGATTACTGTAATAGTTGTTTTCTTCTGTTACTTTAACTCAATACAATGGGGATCTATAGAGAGGCCACGGGCTGAAATATCAAGCCATTGTAACTCCTGATGGAATTACATCTTCCATCATTGGCCCCGAGACTGGAAATCACCACGACATGCATATGTACAGACTGGCAGACACGGAGAGACGCCTGTTTGATGCATTTGATTTCACTTCTGTTGGTAGGCCTTGCTATCACTTGTATGGCGATTCAGCTTATGCTAATTCAGCAGTGATGGCAAGGCCATTTAGAATAAGTAAGCAACACATGATCATCTGCTTTTACAAATAATACTTATGAACGTTTTAATCTTTTTCTTTCAGCAAATGCATCCGAAGACGACACCGTGTTCAACACCGAGATGTCTAGAGTGAGGATCTCTGTGGAGCAGGAGTTTGCTCACGTCGGGAGCTTCTTTGCATTTCTGAAATATTCACAAACGCAGAGAATTGACCAATGCTCTGTAGGCCTCTATTATATCATTGGAACATTCTTAAAAAATGTTCATATATGTTATAATGGGGGGAATAAAACCAGTGCCAAGTTCGATGTTAGTCCACCAACACCAGAACAATACATCGCAGGTCTTTTAAGACAATAAAACTTATCATTATTATTGGTACTTGCAAAAGGATCTTATCTGTAACCTTGTGTTCTCGTACAACTCACAGATACAAATAAGCTTACTGTTGTTTTCAGTGTACTTCTAAAATGGCTCTTAATAATTGTGTCTCATAAAAGGCCAAACAATTACAAAACATATGATATATAGATAGATCTCTAATTCATTTTAAAAAAAAAGCTCTATTTCTTTCTTTGATTGATCTTTCTTAATACATAGCTTATATACATAAAGATATCTATAAAATTCCTTGGTGATTCCTCTTTATTGATCATTTACTGTCATGCCAGGCCTGTCAGTTTCCAAACCTAGAAGAACTTTCTTTAACATCAACAAACGAAGTTTATTTTTATTATTATTATTATTTATCTGACAAAGGCGGGTCCTCTTTAAAAATGGCTTACTTTGTATGACATTCCTCGAGTATCTCATTTTCTTTATGACCACTATTATATTTTGAAAGAGATACAAATCATTCTTAACACAGCAATATCCAAAGAGTATAGTTAATATTGTTATGTAATATACTTACTGCTAGTCAGTATATCACCCAAAAAACACACACACACACATACATACATACAAATCATTCTCCAAATCATAATAGAATTTGAATTAGACCATTGTTTTGCTGCTCTACTAAATAAATGATAATAATGATAATAATACCTAAATTTTTATCTTACTCTTATACTCATTCTTATAATAGCTTGCTTTAGGTTCTTATATGCCTTACATATATACATAAATATAAACTTTGTAGTGGCATCAGTGTCTTTATATGGCATGAGGCTATCTTTTAAGCTATCTATTATTTTCTACACTGTTTCACAGACAAACTGATCGATATCTGTGAGCTTTTCATGTAAAATTTGAATAATAATATATATTATTAAAAAGAAAGAGAAATACTTGGCATATGACTTGCATTTGATCTCTATATTTTTAAAGCAAGTTCATGAATTACTCTGGCACAGATAACCCACGATGTATTAGTGTTTCAAATTGAGATGAACAATAGGGGACAAGCAAGGTGACAAGAACCATTTTTAAAATAGCTCAATATATAAAAGAGACGGCTCAATGACTTTTTGAAAGATATGGAGAAAGTAGGTTATGAGGGGTATTAGGGCTATAAGGGCTATGAAGGTTATGAGGGTTATATAAGCCCTAATGGCTAAGGGGTTATAGGGGTTTAAGAGACTTCAAGCTATCAGAGATTTTAAATAATTCAATGATATCAGAAATATTCTTGTATATATATATATATATAACGTCTATAGTAAAACATACTATAAAAGTCGCACAATTCGAAAACACAAGGCGCATTTTTAAGAGTTTCTGACCGTTATAAAGGAGAGCTATAGTCTACTGCAGAAAGTCTTCACGATCTGGTAGAGACTGGTACACCAAAAGGACCTAATACTACAATGCCTATTCGAAAAGAAAGTCAAGGATATTGACAATCCTGACTGCATACTCTGCAACAACCCCAAAGATGATTGCCACCTTTTTTGGGATTGTGCTGCCAAAAAATCAGTGTGGCATACGATTGCTAACATGCTTCTCTCTAACTCTGGTATACTACAATTTTACTACCTTACTCTACCTTGCCCCCCAATTTCTCTCTAGCTCACCAACACAACTGCTAACATACATGTTGTACTTGGCTGCACACTGAGTGTTATATGGTCCGCTCACTTTCGATTAGTTTTTGAGGATATTCCATTCAACGCTAACAGTACTGCTGCAATGCCTACTTTGGCTATTCGACGTGTTGAAGCGGGAGAGTCTCTAGCTCTTCTCATTTAACTATATATATAGTCTTCGTTATTGATTTGATTTTAGTTTGGGTTAAATTACTTTATATAGTAAAAAGTACATACTGATTTGAGATACTATTAAGAAGAAATGTAGTACACTATAACTGTGCATATGCTATAGTTTTTTCAAGTAAGCAACAATACTAGGATCCTAGGGACACTCTACTATTATTATTATTTTCTTTTAAAAAAAAAACAAGCAACGTTTGGTTTAATGTATACTGCTTATTTCTAGCCTTTGATTATTCACGACTGTAATACTTCCCACGGTAAAATGAGAATATATATATATATGTGATGCTTCTGTGAGCTTTAGAACACTAAATAAATGAATGAATAAACCGATTGCTACTTTACACCAAATGTACTACAGGATCTGGTTATATCTTAGTACTGTTTTTTTGAATGGGCTAGAGTGGCATAGCAATGTTGTCAATTGTGCGCACCAAGAAATAAATACATGTACTTCTTTTTTGTTTGTCTACAAGTATCAAGAGTCGTGTATTATATTATTGTAATTGGTCATCCATAACATCAACGACAAGGAATTATAGAAAGTACAATTATCAATTGGTTATTGATTGAAATATGTGCTTATTATAACTGTCACCACAAGCTATTATATGCACATATATGTATATTGGCTGGTACAAGAAAAAGAAAAGAAAAAAAGGCTGATGAAAAGTGGCGTGCTGTTTGATATAGTATAGTCCATTAGGTACACCAGATGATCTTCACTGTGATCAACCCAATCAAGGTGTGGAGAAGTTAGTGGGACACATAAAAGGTAACATGACCTTTTGAAGATTACCCAAAATGAACTCGACTGTCAAAGTACAATCTACTCTTTCAAAAGATTCACAAGGACCAAAGAATAAGAAGAGCAGAAAAGTAAAATAGATAAACTGTTCAAAAATATATATATATATGCATTGGTATGGTAGTATAGATAGAAAAGAGATGATTTAAAGAAATGATTCTGCGCAGTTGAAAGTCAAAAAACAAGAAACAAAAAGATAGACTTCTCCCAGGATCGAGTGGTGGGAATTATTTACTGGTCAATATATATATATATTAATATAATATTATTAGTCCTTTTTGGCCTTGCAAGTATAACCAAAGAAGGTGATATTTCGATTGAGTATTGATTTAAGAGTTGTGGGGGGTGGACACAGCTAAAATTTTTATTATCACTACAATTATCATCTTTTGAGATCTCTGGAGATAAATAAAGAAAAAAGCAAAATTGAAACATATAACCGAAATAAAGGTTCGGGTGGCATATTAAGAATCTTGAGAAGAGGAAGAAGTGTCTTATTTAATGAACTCTCTGGTTAAAGTAAAGGTGAAAGGTAGAATTTGATGATGTATGTTGAATGGTACAGCTATAAAGTTGGTAGGGAACACCAATGATCACAAGGTACTCTTTATGGCAGCACAATTCTAGAGTTTTTTTTTTCTCAAAAAGGAGGTTCATATCTGATGCTATATAATACACCAAGAGATAAATTCTTTATTTTCTAGTATACACTGTAGGAAATGGCCTGATAAGCTATAATTGAAACCATGTATTTTTGTTTATTTTGACAACAAGGAACATTTGCTACGTCTATTATTGAACTTGATTGAAGTGTGTTTGAAGGAAGAAACAAGGCTGATTATTAGATACAGACATAATCATGATTTATACCTGTCACTCACTACAAATATCTATTATACATATATTGATTAATTGAAGGAAAGAATAAAATCAATATTTGCGTGGAATACGCTGGGGTGAAACGCCAAGGCCAAGGGGAAAATCCCGGTAAGAAAGAAGAAGAGTGCTACAAAAACAAATATGAGCCATTTGTTGTAGTCCATCAAACGCGATCCTCCTTAATTCTAAGCCTGACGCCCACAATTCTATTTTGTTTTTCAAAGGAAAAAAAAGCATTGATTACGTAGCCATATTTGAGTAAAATCATGTAAAAGAACAAGGGTTTCAAAGATTCATCAAGACATGAAACAAAAATGATTGGATGAGTATTCAAATCACTGGTTGTACACACATAAAAAGAGAGAGGGAAAGATAAAGAAGACATACATGCAATTCAGCAGTACAAATATATCAATATTTTCCCTAGAGGAGGAGGGGGGGAGTCAAATGTCTAAACCAAATACCCGGTAAGAATAAATATTTTATAATATAATATATAGTAGATAGATAGAAGGGGGGAAAAGGATTAAGTTTATCGATTATGATACATTATGGTTTCATCATATGAATAGCTTCATTTTATCACATACAAGAATGCAGTTATTTATACTTGATTGAACCTTGTAAGGTTGTAAGAAGCCCCAGCTCTTTATGAACCGGGGTCACCTATCTTATGTGTATTATGATTACTTCTTTACACAGACGAACAAGTTTATTATAAACAAGTAAAACATAACTTTTTTTTTTTTGCTTCTTCTACTTGACTCATTAGACTAACAAGACACCCTTCTATCTATAAAACAAAACAAGAAAAATGTCCATATTTGGATTTGCATATTGGGGCGAAAGTTTTTGTGTATCATTTTCTCTCTTTATCTCTCTCTTTACTTTTCTTTCACACACGTCCCCATAGCATTTCTTCCCTCTTCTTCCCTTGCCTTCCCTTCTATTCCCTTCTCTTCTTTTCCGTTGAACGCTTCCTCTTGGTGGATAATACCAGAGCCGTTTGTTTCACAAGGCAGCCGATCAATAAGACTTTTAGAATAAGCATATCAATTAGTATTCTTATTATTCTTTCTCTACATGTATTAGATTATACAATATAGTATATATTACATCAGGAATAGACCAAAGAGAATAGTTCAAATGTATGCATATATCAAACACCTAGAAAACGAATATGTAGATTAATCTAATGTAACTAATGCATTGTGGTGTGATATGCGGATATACACATAGTGTAAAAATTCAAAGAATCGACACTTAGCATGTTACTCAACGTAACGGGATGAATGTATTAATCCCAAAAGAAATACGAGTTGCCCTCTTTTTTTTTTTTTTTTTTGGATCTAGGATCTAGATTATTGACCGATCGATTCTTTTAAATAATATATTTAATACTTGATATGTCCTCTTTATTTTCACTAGAGTCTATACTTTTTTCCACCTTTATTTTTATTTTTTTATTTATTTTTTAGTGAAGAAAAAAAAAAGCCTAAAGCTTTAGGCGGTTAATTAGATAGGCGACTGTATAATGTTATTTTATTTTGAGTGGTGGTGATCTCAGCATTAACCAAACCCAACCAAACCCAACCAATTCAACCAATTCAACCCAAAAATGAAAATAATTATGAATGTAGCTGACTTGGGTACACACTTCTTTCCACCCACTTGCCTTCCATTCTCTCCTCTGCCTGCCTCTGTCTTTGTTGTATTTTCTTCCCTGAACATATAGTAATTAACTCTCACATGAATAGTCACATCTATATAGATATATCAACTGAATGAATGAATCAGTGGGTGATTGAGTGTTACAAAGACAATGAAATTAAGTTATTAATGTGACGTGATGTGATCATTAGCTATCTACCACTTTTGTTTCTTCTTAAGATAACTAAAAAAGAAATCTAAACGAATCGTATACATAATGAAATAAATAAATAAGTAGATGATATTAAGATTGGTCTTGGTCTAGACTATTGAAAAAAAAAATTTAAAAAAAAGAAACTTATTGGGGGGTGTCATTATTAAAAAATAAAAGCAAAAATAAAAATTAAATAAAAATGGTGTGAGTTTTTTTTTTGTAAAATGATTATTACAATTTTATACCTATTTTTAAGAGAAGCAATAGATAGATATATATTATAGTCTGCTTTACATAATCATAATCCTGTATGTATTTATGTATGTATGTACATGTAGTTTATATTTCTATGTACATATAAGAAAGGTAAGAAAAAGAAAAGAAAAAGATGGCTGGTAAAGAAGTACTTGAACAGTAGATTCCATGTCTATCGAAATACTTTGGTTGCTAAGCACCGTAATAAATACTATACATACATAAAAATAAATTCAAATAGTTTTAGATATCTACTTATTTAATAGGCAAAATAATAAATCCCATCAAATGTTTCGATTGAATATATGCAATGTACATATGTATGTACACACCAGATGAGATTCTTTCTTTTCAAGGTACCTCACTATAACTTGTATACATATACATATATATATATGTGTGTGTATGCTTACATTTTAATGGGGAAAATGATATGCGGGGATTAGATATATTGAATGCTTATTTATCTCCCATAGCAATATATACTTTGAGATTGTACATATGCTTAAGGATTGTGTGAATAATTAGCAAATCAACACATCTTATAAACAAAAATTTTATTGAATATACTTAAAAATAATTATTATATGAAAAGTAAAGAAAAAGAAAATGTAGATTGATATTTTACACCACAGAGAAATGAAAGACAGAATCCAGAAAATATCCAAGGAAATTAACAGAATCCAGAAATTTGGGTATTGTGTTCCAGAGCCAAGCCTTATTTATTTTTTTTATTTTTTATTAATTTTTAAAAACCAGATTTAAATCAATAAAAACTGGGAAATGGGAAAGTCACAAAGACACCAAAGAACCAAAAATTAATATACCTTTTCTTTTCTTTAAAAATAAAATAAAAAATTAACATTAATATTAATACAGAAATCAATCCTACCCACTCTCTTTAGGGTCAGGACGGAAGATTCTTTCCCCCTTACCTTGTATTATTATTTTGTAGCCTGATATTTTAATTTATCTGATATGTCTTTACCTTTATCTATCTTTATCTCCCCCCCCCCCCCCCAACAACAACAACAACAATGCAATTGAATAACCATGGCATTAAATTAATATAATACGTAATATAAGGAACGATACGGGTACAGATAGAAGAAAAAGAAGACGCCGACGAAATGAATTTTGTACCAAAACCATAACCATAGTAACACTTGTCACCAGTAATGAAGAAGAACAAATCGACAAAACAAAAAGGTTAAGAAACTTGAGCTGGATAATCTTTCGGCTTTCATTCGGGCCTAAATAGACACCAATTGAGTTTTCTGTGATAATCATCATTGTCCTGACAATAAATGAATCAATTGGAACTGGGACTTTTGTCCAGGGATCAAACATTAATAATAATAATAATTGTTTAGCTTCTTATTATTATTATTATTTGAAAAGAATAATAAAGTGGAATCATTCTTTTTATTTATTTTTTAAATTTTTATTTGATTTTTATTCTTTGTGACAGGATTAATGAAAATAAAGAAGCATTGTTGGTCAATTCGATTCCCTTATTTTAATAGTTTGTATATTCTTTTGTAACCAGGTTGTCATGGTAACTTACTTACTCGCTTACTTACTCCGCCATATTATTCATATCAATACACTAAACTGTTAAATACAACAGACAATATAGTACAAAGTAAGAATCTATTTAATTCTATTCATTTTTTAACTGCTGTTTTCTATCTTGTTTTTTTTAAAAAAATTAAAAAGTTAGAGAGAAAATCATTAGTATAGAAGCTTTACAGATTTTTTTTTAAAAAAAATCGAATTGAATATAGTAATAAAATGCTGTACTACACTAAACATTACACTGCACATTACACACTACACTATAAGCTCTATTATACAGTAAAACACAATGCAATGCAATACTATACTATAAAGTACTCAATGCTTTTTTTTTTATTTTGGTACTTAGTAATGAAGAATTGATTTCATAAAAGAAAAGTCTTCAGAATGACATCTCTCTCTATATACTAGAGACCCTTAGCTATTGATATCTACCCTTTTATTTTGAGCTAAAGACGTCATATACATTTATTATTATTATTCGATTCATTTTGATCTGTGATTAGTGATTAGTGATTTGTATCTAAAAGACATTCAAAGTGTTGTACAAATTAAACATACTATACAGCCCTTTTTATTGTATTGTATTGTACTGTATTTACTATTTTTACTAGTACTAGTACTATCTTTTTTAATGTTGTTCATGTTGTATATTTACTTCTTGTGCTTTGGTTAGCACAAGATTCATTCATTTAATTATTTGTTTATTGCCGATGATTCGGAAGAAAAAAAAATGGAGTAAGAGTAGTTTTTTTTTCTCTTTTCATTACCGAGTGAATGTCACTCACAAAATAAATGAAAAAGTATCTCTTTACACATGTTTTTATATTAACCTCAACTACAAGTTTTTGCTTTTATTATTAAAAGAAAAAGAAAAGAAAGAACTGATGATTTAATATTATATAGATACTATATTTAAATTTATTGGCATAGCAACGATAAAGAAGTGTAAAAATAAAATAAAATAAACTTTACCATGGTAACAAAAAGACTTTTTGTCATGGTAACCAAACACCTATATATTATTATTATTTTACAAGTATATATTTGGGTTTCCTTTTTCCTCATCAAGCACAGGTTTTGGGGGTGATGAAAATAAAGAAAGAAAGAAAGAAAGAAAAAAAAAGAGGGAGAGAAAGTGCTTATGGGTTTGGTCGGATATAACATGTGAATCCTCACGTGCAATGAACAGTGTTGAAAGAAAGAAAGAAAGAGAAATATTTCCCTTCCATCCCTATCTATCCCATATTCCTTACAAGCCAGTCATTTTTTTTTATTATTGCTATTACTATTACTATCACGATCAGTATTAGTATCAGTATTAGTATTAGTATTAATCGTTTTCATTTTCATTTTCAATCTTCTTACTAATACAAAACGGAAGTTAATCGTTCGATAGACTTCTCTACAGTCACTGTTCTTTTATTTCTTCTTTACTTCTTTATCTTATTTTTTTTGTAGAAACTCAAAAAAAAAACAACTTGCGTAATATATATATATAAGATTAAAGTTCCAAGGTGCTTTGATACTTACAAGAAGACTGTTGTTTGTATAATAGAACGTCGAGTTCTTTGGGTTTTTTTTTGGTGTAGAGGTAGGACAAGTATTGAAATATGTCTAAATATATATATATAAGAGCTCTGTGTTCTCAAGAATCTAATGTGTCAGGTACAAAAATAACAACACAGTAGTGGGCTCACAATGCCCAGGTACCAAATCACCCACATGTATACATGTATACACACATATACTTTAAGCTTGTATTTCAACTGGATCCAATAGAATACCTGCCCACTTGTGTTCGTATAAAAAAAAGAATAGTATATATATATATATATACTACCTGGTCATTAATTCATCCGATACTTTTGTGTATACCTTCAACCAAAAAAAGAAAAAGACGATAATTTCTTTTTTTAAAAAAAAAAAATCGGTTCGCGACACCCGCTCGGCCGTCAAGTCATCAAGAAGTGCAGGAGATATATTTTGTTATTTAAAACCAAAAAAAAAAGGGGGGGGGGGGGGGGGGGAGAGAATTCCGCGCCTTCGTTTCCCATTCGCTGAGTTGTTTCAAAATAAGATACCATACAATACAAGACAATACAAAAACGGTGGTTTATTATCCTGGGTTACGCTGAATGGCAATTGGCTCAAGTTTTCTCCTTATTCTTCATCTTCATCATCTTGTTGCTGTCTATCTCTATATACATTGATAGCATACTATCAATTCTATTAATCATTTCGATACAAAATCTCTTTTTATCTTACTATTCTTTCTTAGTATTTAAATATAATAAAAATATAAAGGGGGAATTATTCACAAGTAAAAATGGTGGAGTTGAATTTTTCATAATAAAAAAAAAATGTGATCTCTAAAAATGGAAATAGCCTATCATTTCCAAGTCTGCTTACAAAACCAATAATATTTATTCCGCAGTAGGGCCGTGCATTCTCACCCGTCATTTTATATATTTATTTTTTTGTTATTTATTTCTTTCATATTTTGGTTGTTGTTTTTTTTTTGTATGAAAAATAAATAAATTATTTTTATTATCATTATTTTGGCTACCAAGGATACATACTTCTTTATATCTATAATAGAGATAGCAAAATAATAATAATAATAATAAAAAAAGAAAAGCGAAAAAAAAAGTGGGTTTTTCCTCTCCCCCCACCCCCACCCCCACCTCCACCTCCATTTTCTCCCTCATTAACTTCCACTCCCCACTCTTTGCCCCTCTCCTTCTCCCCTGGAGTCCCTAAAAAATGTCTTTTTTTTTTCTTTTTTTTATATAAAAAAAATGTTTTAGTTGTTCCAAATTCGGACACCGTGGACAGCCAATCCAAGGTTAATTGAAACGTTGTACCGCCCAGCCAAAATAAATAAATAAATATTTTTTTATAAAAAAAAAATTGACCGAGCGGCTAATGGTTTAGACTGTTTGAGTTGGTAGTTTCCTTTATGTTGCCCGATGTGTATATAATATTTCAGCCGAACAAAAAAAAAAAAACTAATTATTTATTTATTTTTTAAAAAAAAAAAAGGAAGGAAAAAGTACAAAGTATAGAAAAGAATTAGAGACAAAATTTTGGATATTTTTTTTTTGGTACATAAACAATGTATATATTTACTTACCAGTCTCAATTTATGTGTGTGTGTGTGTGTGTATGTATTTTGTGATCTACCAAAATAAATAAAAAAAATTCAAGCAAGGTTTGGCAGGCCATACCGAGTAAAAAAAAAAATAAGATACACATGTAGTTTAGGACACTGAATAAGAGTGGTCACATGGCTCAAAGGTGGGGTAAGTGGCAAGATACGGCAAAAACTGGGAAATTGATTGGTTTTTGCTGACAATTGATGAATAAAAAGAAAATCAACACAAAAAAAATTCAACAATATAAATTTTGATCAAATACTAACAAGAAAGAAGAAGATAAAGAAAGGTATTTTACTGGTGTATATATATATATATATATATACAATGCATTATTCTTGATGGTAACCATAGTGAATATAAAAATATACATATAAAAAGGCTAAAAAAAAAAAAAAAAAAAAAAAAAAAGTTCAGCCCCACAATTGCTGATGTGTCTTTAATTGTGGTGACTAACCGTAATAAAATAAAATAACCTTTATTACACAGCCAGTTGTGTCCATACATATTATTTTCCATTTTTTTTTTCTCTTATTTTAAATTATCTAATATGGCATAAAGTCTTTATAACATAAAGCTCTTTTTTTTTTTAAAGAAAAAAAATAAACTTATAATTAATTTAAGTATTTA